GTTGTTTGAGTTTTCTTAAGTTTTAAAGATCATATAATATATATATATATATATATATATATATATATGGTGACGACTGGTATACGTCAGGCGTATAGTATACGCCAGATTTTCTCATCGTTGATCTCATCTAACGGTCGTTATTTACATTGATACAAAAATTAATTATTTGAAATTATAATTACTAATGACACCCATTAAAATTATAGACATACGAATATAGTCCTTGAACAAATTTTACCATTTCTTTTCATATTATAGTACCTTGTTTTTTTACTCATTCTTTCAAACACCCAAACTTATATACCACTACCAATTAATTCTCCATCGACCATTTGGGTGATTGCTTCCTAAAATGCCAATTTTTCAATCATCAAAATAAGAACCAAGAATATCTCTCCTCCTCTCCCCTGAGTTCTACTTTTACCCGAACACTGGATCTCTCTCTCGCCTTTCTCCCACACATCCTCCGTGCAAGACATCGTTCAATCCCTTGGCCCAAATCTATCTCTTGGCGGCTTCTTCGTTTCGTTCTCTCGCTGCCTCAATCTCTTCCTAGCGGCAGACTGCATTTTCCCTCTGCTTCTTTCTCTTTGAAACACACAAGGAAACAACGCTGGGTAAGCGTGATCAACTGCGGCCGCTGAATCAGGGATTATGGCGCCGCCCTCACTGTCGCCATTTCCGCCCTCCTCCTTGTCTATTCTTCTAGTCGATGAACAGAGGAAAAGAAGGGACGATCGACAAAGCATTTCTATTTGTGCTTACATGAAGCCTTTGGAGATCAACTGGGCAGAAAACAGATGCTAGCTCCTGAAGCGTGATTAGCAGCCTCAAGAAATATACATGCTTCTTGTCTCTGTTTCAATGGCTCTCGTATTCAAACTCTATGACAACTAACCTCCAATTCAACGAGTTCCATCAAAGCCCTCATCTGGGATACTCTGAGATGAAATTCCTAATATCCGGTACATAATCGGCTAATTCTTAAAGAAGACATTCTCCTCATTGGCTGGACATCATCCCCAAATCGTACTCAATGAACCCTAGGAACTCAAGTTGGAGGGAAGGTTCCACACCCAAATTAAACAACACTCTGGTCCAGTTTCGGTCTAGCCACTAAACAATATATATAGTATTTGAGTGTTGAAAATGATGTTCGAAGAAAGTAGGGAACCAAAATACAGAACTCACTGGAAAAAAATTGGGAGCTATAATGCTCGTATAAAATATTAATGGGTGTTGTTAGTAATTATATTTGCTAATTAATAATTAAATAAATCATCATTACTAATGACTGTCAGATTAGATCAACGGTGTGAGGCACTTGGCGTATACTATACGCCTGACGTACACCAGTCTAACCCGTATGTATATATATATATATATTTATATTTGTGTATATGTAGGTATAAAAACAGTGGAGTTTCAGAAGAGAGGTCTACCACATGTGCATATATTATAATGGTTGGATGCAAAAAATAAATTTTATACGTCTTCTGATATTGATGCTACAGTATCTGCTGAATTGCACGATCCGGAACTTGATCCTATTGGTTACGAGGCTGTGACAAAATTTATGCTCCATGGACCATGTGGTGATGATAATCCTGCTAATGTGTGTATGAAGAATGGATCATGTTCTAAGTATTTTCCTAAATCATTCAACTCGGAAACAACAACGGATCAATTTGGTTATACGGTTTATAAGAGGCGTGATACTGACATAACAGCGACAAAAGGGACAACAACATTGGATAATAGGTATGTAGTTCCCTATAATAGAAATTTTTTGGTGCTTTTTCAAGCTCATATAAATGTCGAAGTTTGTCATCAAGGACGATTGATCAAGTATCTTTTCAAATATATTACTAAAGGTCCAGACCGTTCTATGGTTATTGCTGAGGCTGTTCCGAACTCTCCTATTGCATATGATATACCAATCCAGCGACCACCTCTAGATGAAATCAAACAATTCCTTGATTGTCGTAGTTTATCGTCATACGAGGCTGCATGGCAACTTTTTGAGTTTCCTATTCATGAAAGGACGCCAGCAGTGCAACGATTATGTGTACATCTTGAAGGGAGACATCAAGTTCCTTATAGAAAGAAACAGAGATTGCCGCGTATTCTTGCACGTGATGCTGTCTCATAAACTACCCTTACACAATGGTTTGCTCTCAACCAACAAGATCCAGAAGCTCGAAGTTTACTGTATTCTGATTCTAAATAAATATGTCTGGAATTTCAAAAAAAATATATGGTGTCGGAGGAAAAGGGGTTTTGCAATTGGCCGAGTTGTCTATATTCATCCAGGATGTGGAGATACATTTTATCTTAGATAGATCCTGACGAAAGTTCGTGGAGCGGTCAGTTACGTTGATCTTCGGACAGTTAATGGTTTCTTATGTCGGACATATATCAAGCTGCTTGCCAACGTTTAGGGTTGTTGTCGAATGATGATGAATGGCTGCTTGTGATAAAGGAAGTCAGCCAATGGGGGATGTGTAGCCTTCTGAGGTACTATTCATTACAATGTTAATGTTTTGTGAGTTATCTGATCCATTAGGTCTATTCAACAAAACATGGGAATTGCTTTCAGATGATATTACATATCAATGTCAGCGTGATGTCAATTTCAACAATCATTTGATTCCTGCAGAATTGCCAAACAATAAATTATTATTGGAGTTGCAATGTATGTTAGATGGCTATTCTGCTACGCTTTCACAGTTTAATTTGCCTCTTCCGACAGTTGTATCGCTCCCAGAAGATCTTCGTTTGTGTTTTGATAATGATCTGCAGCCATTTGTGCCACAATCTTCTTCTTTGCCACTTCCTCTCCTATCTGATTTGAATACAATACAGGAGGTTGCTTTTCATGCTGTCATTGATTCGATTAATTCGGTGGAGGTGGATAAGCATAACTTCTTTTTCCTACATGGACATGGAGGAACTGGTAAAACGTTTCTATATAGAGTGATGCTTGCACACCTTAAAGAACTTGGAAAGATTGTTCTTGTGGTTGCTTCTTCCGGAATTGCTGCAACATTACTTTCTGATGCAAGCACAACTCATTTAAAGTTCAAGATCCCACTTGAGATTGATTATCGATCATCCTGTAATATAAGGAAAGGTACTCCCCTTGCTCAATTGATTGTTGATTCATCTCTTATAGTATGGGATGAGGCGCCCATGGTGCATCGTTTGTGTTTTGAGGCTGTCGATAGAGCCTTTTGTGATATTATGAACGTTCCTTTCAGTGGTGTAAACTATAAGCCATTTGGAGGTAAAATAGTCCTGTTAGGTAGTGATTTTCGACAAACATTGCCAATTGTTGCAGATGCTGGAAGAGAAGAGACTGTTGATGCATCATTGATTCGATCTTACTTATGGAATTACTGTTATGTCTTACATCTTACTAAAAACATGTGTGTCATGTCTTCATCTGCAAACCGACATACAACTTTTCATGGAATGAACTTCAATGATTGGACTTTAGCTGTTGGTAATGGAAGTATACCGGGGAAATCATTTGGAGAAAACCAGCCAGCAGACTGGATTGAAATACCTGCTTCTTTTCTGATTGAATCCACAAGAATGCCTATTCAGAAGATTGCATCTGAGATATATACTGACTTTGTAGAGCATTTTTATAATGTTTCATATCTCACGGAAAGATCTATTGTTACACCAAGAAACCAGGATGTAACAGAGATCAATACTCACATGCTCTCTTTAATTCCAGGAACTGCACGGAGTTATTTCAGTAGTGATACATTAGAGACAGATGCATGCAATCCAGCTCTTCTTGAATCCGAATATCCTACAGAGTTTCTTAATGGATTATCTTTTAATGGATTGATCATCAAATTGATCTCAAAGTTTTTACTCCAATAATGCTGCTGAGAAACTTAAATCCATCTATTAGTCTCTGTAATGGTACAAGGTTGGTTATTGTCTATCTGGGACACTATGTCATAAAAGGAAAGATTATGGGGGGTACATTTGATGGTAGGACTGTTGCAATTCCTAGAGTGGTCTTGAATATCAATGACTCGCGCTGGCCTTTCATACTTAAACGACGGCAGTTTCCAATACGCCTTTGTTATGCAATGACAATAAACAAAAGTCAGGGGCAAACTCTCCATAGTGTTGGTGTGTATCTACCTAGGCCTGTCTTCAGTCATGGTCAACTCTATGTGGCCGTATCACGAGTTAGAGCAGCTATTGGATTACGCTTCCTCATTGTTAATGAAAAAGACATTCCAGCAAATAATACTCGCAATATTGTGTATCATTAAGCATTTGTTGGTCTCGAAAATGTTAATGGCATTGATTTTGCTACTGCAAGATGGTATGTTCTTTTTTATATTTTCTTTTTTATTGTTTGTTGTTTCCTTTAGGTGGTAATCAAGTTGGTTGACTATATATATTTATCTATATGATAATTGCAGATTTGCGGATAAATCTTTTTCAGAATTCTCGGTGGATCGAGATGTGGTTCTTATTCGATCATATAATAAATAAAGTGAGCATAATCTATGGTGTCCATTTCTTTAAATTATATTATAGTACTATTGTTCCACTTTTGTATTCTAATATGATATAAGTTTAGTCTTTTTTGCAGATATATCTACAGCTGGGCAGTAATTCTTATGCACTGCTATGGAGTTTGATTTCTTTTCCAGATGAAAAGCTACTTAATGGGCTTTGGTGCTTGCATAATTAGCTAGATATTGATAATATTATTATTATAACTATGATATCTAGACAATCTTTTGTTGTATATTAACTAATTAATATATATTATTATATATAATTCTATTTGAATCACTCAAATTGTTTATGATTTAATTATCCTCATATCAATAATAGGAAGTCTATTTATCTTTCTTTGGTATTTATATCATTATTTATAGAGGATTTTAAATGTATGCCTTTATGAATGGAAAAATATAACTATTTATATAGATTATTTACGCCACCTAAGGTATCATTTGTTTGCCATTTGTCTATTCTTGGTCTATTATGATTGCCACTTAGCAATATTAGTTTACAAAAGTAATAGTTGTACTTTGCATGGTCTCCAGCTGTCTCCTTTTTAGAACTCATTTGTAATCTTTTCTCAAGTGTTCTAGATAAGCTATTTAAGCTTAAGGGTTCTGAAGTGAGTCTTCTCCTAAATCTATATTACGTTATTTGCGTGTGGTTTGTAACTATTCCCAGCAACACTTGAATGTCTCTCTTCTTCTCCTTTAATTTCTCAACAGTACTCATTCCAGCTGTAGATCTTTGAGGTGATGCTTCTCCTCTACTTATTTTAGATTTTCTGTGTATGGGTTGATGGTTCTTACAATCAAGAATCAGATTAGATAATCTATCATTTTGTTGATGGAGCCATGATTTGTTTCTATTTTCTCACTTCTCTTTATATATCTTTACAGTTAGTTGTATTAGATGGAGATCAGATTTGTCTTGAAAAGGAACTATGATTCAAAATGATCTTGATTCCTCCGCAGGGGACGAGTTGCAAATTTTTTTCAAAAAAATGAACAAAATTCTTCCGATTGGTCGGAATTTCTAACAAACGCAACCTTTTCAGTCAATATAGCTTATTTTGGAATATTTATAGTGCGACTTCTGTAACGATCACATATTTACTTACTTACTTTAGTGTAAACATAATTTCTTTCCAAACTAACAAAAATATCAAATAAAAAGAATGATTAATTCCACAAAAGATAAAAAGAATGAAGTTTGTTTTTATGGAGTATTGCATACACCTATAATTGTGAGCTTCATGTTACTCCTCCCAATATAGTAAATCAAATTTCTTTTTGTTTTTAGTTTGCAATCGATATATAATTATTTAATAAGATTTTGTATTCTTTATTATCTATGTGTGTGAAATTTAATTTCATTATTTCTTTTAGGTCTACTTAAACTCTTTCTGCTGGCCAACAGTATTTTTAGCTCGGAATGTCCAGAAATTACTCACTTCCTGATTCTCCAGATGGTAAGAAAGTATCAATTTGTTGATACTTATTAGAAAATAATTTTTATGTCTATGTTATCTTAATTTTTAACTCATGGGTATTTTTTTCTCGCTTTCAGATCCAATTGTTACAACATTAGTAATTAGAGATCTTGAAGGGGAATGCATAACTCGCCATATTATGCTCTGACTTATTCATATATGGTATTCTGATGAATATATAGGAACCGAAACAAGTCAATTTATGTATACACTATGGATTGACAAAGAGGTTTGTATATGCATCTACATTGTCTTCATTGTTTTATTTTACAATTAGGGGTTGTCCAAATAAAATGATTATATATTATGTAATTAAATAGTAATACCTTATTTTATCGCTTGAATAATTATTATTTTCTTTACTTTATAGGAAAATATGGCGGAAGGAGTAACAACTGAAGAAGATATTAGTTATATGCAGAATTATTTGAGAGTAGGGAATCTATATAAAATCGAAGACGTACGTCTAAAAAAAGCAAGGAGAATTCATCGTACAACACCAGGAGAGATTCGTATATACATTTGTCGAGCATTAAAGTGTGAGGTAGTATATGAAGTTCGATTTAGGGAACGATTCCCCGTTGATAGTTTTAAAAATGATGAATTTGAGGATCTTCGGAGTATGGTTGTGAATCCGACTCATCTTGCAGGTACTTATGTATTTAGTAAATATCTGAAATTATATTTTCTTTTATATTAAAATTTTTCCTCTTTGTAGATCTCACAGGTCGCATCCTGTCCATAGCACGACCAGTGCATAATGATGATGGCACAATGCTTGTGATTGTAAAAATAGAAAATATTAGGTAATATATTACTATACATATCTTATATATTGAATTATGTTGTGTAAGAATTAATACTTCTTTGTGTGATTAGGAATGCAATCGTTGCTATCAATTGGATCACTACTGTGAATGATTTCTATTCCTGGGCTGAAACTCAAGAAATGATGTATCCAGTGGTCGTTACATTCATGAGTATCTTAGTTTATGAGCCTGAGCCAAACTGTAAGAAACTATACTTATGTTAATATTTAGATGTTTACTCTAATATTATTTTATTAAGGACTTTTCAGATAATTTGTAGTTAATTTGCTCCTCACGAGCACAAATGCAACACGCTTGATTCGTGGTTCATATATACACCGATACAAGGCACTATTGAACAGGTATGGTATGTAACTCATTGTTAGAATTATTCTTTTATTTATTTTAAATATAAACTATTACTCACTGCCCAAAATCTTTTATCAGATATTTTCATGAACATAGGACAATTATGATACTAAGCACACAAGAACAAGGAGTGTTTCTTGCTTTAGAGATTCTTTGCCAATTGTGGTTACCTTACAGATGATGCATACGTTCCTTTCTACTGCTGATATTAATCTTGAGGTATATTATCTTATATCGTTAAGAAGTCAAATTGAATAAAATTCTTTCTTTAATCCCGGTATATTTCTATACAGGAAAGATATTGGTGTTTGGTACAAATTGATGACTTTGTTGCAGATCATGGAATAGTGAGACGAGAAAATAACACTTGCTTGTAAGTTATGATGAATTTTATGTGTTTTGTTTTTTCTGTCATCTATAAGCAATGATGTAAACTTTTTATTCAATGCAGGTATGACGCATTAGTGTGCTGCAAAGATTTCATAGATAATGAAAATATTGAGTTTAGTCATATTCCGCAATGGTTCAACTGTTGCAAATGCCAGCTAAAGACTTCAGTATTCTTCAACATTTTGAGCAAGAGAAGTTAATTGAGCAAATACGGGGCAAATATTTTACTGTAGAACTATGTATATCAGAATGTTCTCAAGGAAATAGACATATAATTGTAACTGTTCTATGGAGTCCATTATGTTCACGTATTGTTTAAGACTTATACTAGCAGTTTTAGTAGGCATCATTAGCAAAATATATATATATATATATATGTATAAGAAGCTATGTGTTTGGCTAGAAGTTTAAGTCTTCACCTATCAGTTTTAGTAGTGTTGATTAGCAATCTATGGATAGGACAAACAATGTATTTATCTAGAATTTTCATGGTGAATTAGTTGTCAGATACCTATTAATTAATCTATCTGTTTTTTTATTATCATGAATGCATTGCTATAACAATCACTAGTTTTGACCCTGCCCTTTGGGCAGGTAATCTTTTATTTTGTATAATGTAACTTATGAATTATTTGATGAAATGCAAATGGTTCTTTACTATTAAGTTACTCTCTCTTTATAAATACCAGAACAACCATTTCCTCTTTAGTATACTATACAAACCTTTAGTTCAAAATCACATACCTTATTACATTTACATCAATGGTAAATTATAAATCTTACATGGAACTCAATATGCAATTGCAAAGAGAATTTCACAAATGTAGTGAGCACGTAAATTTGCATTTGATGAAAATCAAGCTGTAGCCAAATAGAAAATAAAATAATTTCTTATTTTCATTTATTTATTTTTATTCTATAAACATTAAGACTCCTAACATATGCAATTGTAAATGGGTTACATTGATGTATATAGAATGAAATTAATATGAGCTATATTGCATAAATTATAACATAACAATAGGGATAACATATATACAATAGGTTTTGCAATTTTTTAGTCATATAATTGGTTTTGCAATTCCATTGCTTGATCTCTTAGAAGCAAATAATCCATATAAAATGTGGGAAGTAATAATTTATTACATGTAATTGATGTTTACATAAATAATCATATATAATTATGCAAATTGCTATTATCATTTGCCCACGGTTCCCATTCTCACCTCATCCGCTCTTACTTTTCCCCCTTTTTATTGTGTACATTTTTTTAAGGAAAGAAGGAGAAAATTGAGGAATCAGTTACCAATTTTTTTTACGAAGTGTTGTTATTTTTTAGGGGGTTTGAATTTTAGAATGGGAAATCGGGAGTTCTTGTGTTTCATGAACAGTCGCTATTTTTTAGAGAGTTTGAAAGGGGGAAAACGACAATTATTGTATTTCTAGGTGTGTTGACGTGGAAGCGTAGATTTAGTTTAAGGCTGATGTGGCAGGGGTGCAAATCTCAAACCCTTTTAATATTTTTATAGATAGATAGATAGATATAAATAATGGACCCTCTTTTATGATATAAGTAGATATGTGAATTGGGCCCAGTATTCTCATATTTAGCCCGAATAAGAAATGACTTTATGCTTATATTAAATTTCTATAGTTTTTTAGAAGCCCATTTCATAATGGTTCGGTCCATTGGGGGAACAATTTATGGCCCACTGAATCTCTAATATCCGATTTTTATAAATGGTAGTAAGAAATCGTTTAGGGACCAACTTCCACCGCCTTTTCATTCCAGTTCTAATTCTTCCTTTTCAACTTCCCCTATTCTCTGAACTCTTTTTCCCAGAAGCTACAGTACTTCGAAACTTCCAGATCAGAGATAGTTGTATATTCATGGGGTATGATTGCTGATAGTTTTTCCTTTTTCTTTTTGCATTTTGTCTCTGTTTCTTTACACTTGAACCAATTTTTGATCTTCTATTGTCTTTCTATATCAGCCATCGTTGTATAATGCCTCGTGATTTCAAACTTCCAACTCTTCCACGAGGTATCGACTCTGTTGCTTTCTATTTCAAGTTTCTATTTATTGGTTTATGAATGAACACTGTTGAAGTGTTAAGTTTTGGGTTTTTTCTTTGTCTTTTGTTTATTACAGACCCAATTTCCACATGCATGGTGTTTCGTGGACTCCGTGTTGGTGCTTATACAGATATCATGATAATCCGAGTTCTTAATGTGTGGATTGAGTATAGTGATGACTCTTAAGGGCATATAAGAACAATGCATGTGCTGTGTCTTGACAAAGAGGTATGTCGTTCATCTATATAATGTAATATTTATTGTTAATGTTTGATTGTCGTAATGCACTAAATTTCATTTAACAGGAACGTATGCTAGAGGCCTGTATTGAAGAAGATGACATTCAAGAAATGCACCATAAGTTGAAAGTAGGCGATTTACATGTTCTGGATGGCTTTCATGTTATTCCTGCGAGGGAAAACAAGCGTGTTGTTCCCGCTGAAGTTCGCTTTGCCTTAAGGAGTGAACATATCATATTTTGCGTGCCTGACAATCCGAGTTATCCCAAGTTTCCTGTCAATGCTTTTCTGAAAACTTCATTCTCAGCTGTTCCAATAGAGGCAGAAACAGTTGTGAATTATGGAGGTATTTTCCTCGGAAGTTGTTTTTACAAAAATTGTTCATAATTATTTACTTACTATAAATTTAATTACAAATGTTACAGGTTGCATTGTTCATCTAACAATTCCAGAGGTCTCAAGTAATGATGTTTTTAGGTTTGAGCTCATCATAGAAGACTGCAGGTTTCTTGCGTATTCTTATGTTGACTTTTGTTTGTTAGACTTATATGTGGGATTAACTGATCTTTTTGTTATTTTGTATAGAGGAGACAGGGCGACAGTGTACTACTCTTGATCTGAGGTTACAAAGTATTTGGAGTTTGCAGGGGAATCTGAATCTCGGTTTCCTCTCATTACCACAATTACTGCTGTTACAAGGTTGCCAGTTACAGATAGCACTGAAGATGCATATGTATTTCAATCTTCACCTGGGAGTCGTCTGATCATTGCTTCTTACAATCACCATTATGAAAAAATAATAAATAGGTATTATTATATTAGAATTCTATGTTTATATATTAGCAAACCTACTCTGTTGGATGTTAAAAAAACAATACATACATTCTTTTTGTTGTTTAGGTTCATAGGTGATCGGATGCTAGTGACTTACATCAATAGTGCTTCTCGCTGCTCTATTGGTTATCTTCGTGGTCTTGAACACTCAGGCAGCTAAAGGATGATATAATGTTCCATTCACAGGCCTACTAGGTATATGTATAATATTGCATGTTTTAATTGTATTGGATATCACATATCCCAAATATATAGTCATATCTTTAACCTATTATAACAAATTTCTTCCTTTAGACTCTCTATCGTTGTATGCTGGAAATGACAAGATTTACGTATGGTCCAGAAGTCTTTAAATCAAGTTCAGGTTTTCCAAGGTATGATTCAATTTTATCTTTTGCTAATAATCTGTTGTCCATTGCATTTAAGCAAAATCAAAACGTTCCTTTCATTGTTTAATTTAGGGTACGATATGATTTACATGCAACATGTCAGTGTGAAGGCGAATATGTTGATGTTATCTTTGATCATGAAGCAGTGTTGGGCTTGGTTTGTGTTTCACCTGAAGAACTTTTCAGTTTAACCTATGAAGAAGGATATGAGTGCATTGAAGACAGGTGTTATATGCCATTTGTGGCAGAAACTTTTATTGCTCCTTGGAATTAAGAAAATCTTCCTACTATCCGAATTGCTTCAATCTGGAACCCTAATGCCTTCGTGTGATTAAAAACTGTTCTACTTGGAACTTATTTTGTCAGTACGGCTTATTTATAATTATGTATGTTATCTATTCAGGACATGTTTCTCTGTTTTCTGTAAAAAACTATGTTTGTTTTTCCTTAGCTTCTCTGGTATTTTGATGTTACTTATGTATATATATATATATATATATTAGTGGCTATTCTGATATTTTGCTATATGTTTTTATTATTTTAGTTTTGTTTGTAGCAATGACGTATTTCTAGCAGTTTGATTTATATACATTGAATTGCCGAATCAAAAATGTCTACCGTATAGCTTTAATCCGGCTAGGTTCACGAGTTGGACATATTTCTAACAGTTTGATTTATATACATTGAATTGCCGAATCAAAAATGTCTATCGTATAACTTTAATCCGGCTAGGTTCACGAGTTGGAGATAAGCGGACTCGAACCACTAACTTCCGCCACAAGGCAAACGACTCCCTCTCGGGCTCTCTGACTAATTCTACCATAAAGGCCAACAATAGATACTAACTTCCTCCCAAATACATTTCGAAACTGTAAAATCAGAATTTCGATCAAATCACATATCGTAGTATACTAGGCTTTTTAATTCTTTAAGGACTTTTATCGTACTGTGCTCTCTATTTAAAATATGAAATAACTTAAATTATAAATAATAGAATGGGAACTATTGAACTTTGATCTATTAATCCGATAAGGTCCAGGTCAGCCCGCATATTGACAATTTTGATCTTAAATTAATATGTACATTTAAGTTATCATAGATTATTACCCTTTCTATTTTGTATAGTTAATCAATTCTCAAAATATATTTAATAAAAAGATAAATACTGACAATGATTTTGAAATAAGCTGTTTTGGAGGTATTGAATACAATATGCCAAATAAAATATTCATATTCCTTTTGCGCAGATTGACACGTACTAAAGATCAGAGCTATAAATACTACTATATAAGTCTCCCTATTTCACTTATTTACTAAGTAAAGCCTTATTGTCTTCTCTCACTACATTCTGGAAAGAGCTGCAGAATAAAGAAAATCAATCCTTACACTCGATTCTTCCATCATCTATTCTTTCATTCCAGTAAATCAATGGCAGTGGACTATAATCCGAGATGGGCTCCTAGAGGTTATAAATTTTTTTCTTCGTCGTATTCTGATAATGATTCTAATCTTTGCAGTAACTTTTGTTCCCATGTGTTTAATTCCATATCGTGTAGACGCGCCGTTGACAATCAAATCTCTTCATCTAGGTTTGTGATGCGATATCGACCAGCGCGATATTTAATTCTCGTGGTGCCAAAATGAAGGTTCGAATTCAACGATTTAAGGATCAACTGGGAGCATTCTTGATGGATAAAATGGAGAATGCATTAAGGATCCGGCCTACAACATTTCTTTGAGCCCAAAACGTCCATCCTTGCTACCCAAGTCATCCAAATGTGAAAAGGACAAGGAAAGAGATTGCTTAACCACTAAGGAGCTTCCTTAAGCATTAAAAACGTGTTTGGAGATTACTTAGCTGCTAAGGAGCTTCCTTTGGTCATAAAAATGAGTTATAGTCCTTATTTAAGTAGTATTATGTTTACTAGTTAGTTTGGGATTTGTTTTCCTATTCCTTTTAGGTTAGATACATGTTTTTGAGACCTTTATAAATGGAGGGCGTAAGAGCTACGAATTTTGTACCCAAGATTCAAGTTTCAAAAATCAAATACAAGTGTTTACAAGTTCAAGTGAACGTTTTGCTTATTCGCTCCTTTGAGGATTCGGGAGGTTTGAATTCTCTTATCAACTAGAGAACGCGTCTAGTTGTGGCGAGCATCGACGATATCGATTGGCCTCTTCCACGGGTTCAAGATTGTTTGGAAGGTTTTATATACCTTCTGGCCCTTCTCACGAGTTTGGATTTGTTTGATCGATTCCGCAAGTATCTTTATTTTCGTGTTATTCAAGAAAGGAGAAAACCCCTAAAAAGCTCGACGTGTGCAACTCTGGTTTTTGGTCCGATTTGGGAGGATTCTCGAATTAGGATCATATCAGCTTGAACAAAGAACCAGTAATTCTTCGTCTTCTCAATAAATGGATCGATGAACCATGTCCAAATTGCTTGCCTAATCATGAAGTTCAAACAGTCTGGATCGACAAAAATGTAAATCTCAATCGATTATTTACCATACAGAATGTCAAACTTCTTACCCAACTTCTTATACTTGCTTTTTTTGCTATCCAGGAAGATTTAATTGAAGGTTGTATTGTTGGTAGTATTTACCATACAGAATGTCAAACTTCTTACCCAACTTCTTATACTTGCTTTTTTTGCTATCCAGGAAGATTTAATTGAAGGTTGTATTGTTAGTAGTATTACTGATGAACCAGCAACGTCTTTATGGGTAGGGCAAATGTACATGGTGCGTTGTATTATAACAAGACCAAAGAGAGCATCTAGATCAACATGCAGTAATCTTCTTCGACTTCAGATCACGAAAAACACTAAATTTGAAGAGCTGGATGAATTGCCTCCCTATCCTTGGTTTCCTTCCATTGGATTCGAAGCAACACCATTCCCAGAATTGAGCAATCACCTCAATTTGCAAGAGAATCTAAAAGGTACTTATTCGCTTTAAATCTAATGAGAAACTCTAGCATGACTTATAATACACACTCTGTTTACAGACATTATGAGTCGACTGTTGAGCATATCATTCGAACAAGAAGAAATGACTTCTGAACTAACTACATCAGCCACAATAGAAGATTGTTTGTATGTCTATCTAATCCATATACTGAATTACAGATTATAAAAAATTTCATTGGGATATTCTGACTTACTTTTATTGCCATGAAGTGGCAATACTGTCATGATTAGAATCACTCCGCCAGTCACTATTTTGAACAAACTATCCATAGCACAAATGGAGTTAGCTGGGCCTGTTTTGTTAGTCTACACTGCAATGGAACTTACAGCGATTAAACGTTCTTATAGTTTTCCCTTTCTTAAAATTATTTGCCTCTGAATAGAATACATGTAAAATTTAGCAAGTATAATTTGATTACTCCTATACAGGAACATTATGCTTGCTGAATACTAAAGGAACCCGTATTATAAAATGATACTATACACATCGATTCAAAGAAATGAGGGACAGGTAACGACTTACTATGATGCTAGATTTATATTTATAACTAATTCATGATCTGAATCTAACCAAATATGTCTTTAGGTTTGCACATATTCATCATCCTGTTCAGCTAGGCTCCTCAAATGGTATAAACCCTCAGTTTGTTCGTGGCGAAATACAATAAAAAACAACAATACGTGCACTGCATTTGAAATTGGATGAACTCTACCCACCATATAATGTATGTGTTTACATTATTCTTATGCATATATATCACTAACTATATAAATGAATTCATATTTGATCTAATAATGTTTTTCTTCTTTTTCAATTTACTGTTTGGATGCTCCTCAGAATAATTTGCATCCATCCAAATCAATCAATGTACCCTCCCAAAGATCCACCTAATGTTGATGAATATGATAGGTATGTTTGTAATGCAAACATGAAATTTATTATAAAGTATACATGCTTAGACCATCTCATTTTGTTTCAGCTTTGAATTTGGAGTTTTGTGCGAGGGCCGGTTCACAAAATTCAATTTTATTTTTGAGCACAATGCAGCGACTGCACTATTGAAATGTTCTTCTGAAGAACATTTCAATATGACAAAAGAAACAAGAGTTGCTCGCATGACATCTATACAATACAAAAATTTTATAGCAGAGGTCCATCCAATCATGAAGAAAGATAACTTATACTCGACTCTTCACATTATCACACTATGGGATCCACTATGTTATTACTAAGAATGGACTACTTACTATGAACTATGTAGCTATTTAGGACTTTCGTTTAATGATCCTTTAATGTATAGTTTATCTGTTGAAGATAATTATCTATTTTCCTCAATTTACTTAATATCATGTCCTACTTCCTTTTCTTACTAAATATATGTATCATAATATGTATTCCACTTATTCGCGAAGCGAAGTGAGCGGGCCATGGCTAGTTCATACAAAAATTACATATACTATACCAAAATCTATGCCAGAAATTGTCTGCTGCATACCAGAAGTCGTCTAACTCAAGCCAAAAACCTCGTGCCAAAAAAATCAACACCAGAAATCGTGGATAACAATCTACACTAGAAATTTGTCTACTGCATACCAAAAAACCATTATCAGCAGATCATCTAATCTAATTCATACTAAATATCACCTAATGCCTACTGGGTACCACAAACTTGAGAATCCACCCTAGTAACAAGAAATAAATATTACTGGGCAACATCCAGGCTTGAACAGGCACGACGCAACACTAATAATGAACAATACACAACAAGACTCGCAACAGATAACGTCTTTCAGCAAGCTGGCGCTCGCCAGAATTCACAGACGCCTACGACATTCACAAGCATCACAGAATGCAAAAGATGGAAGCATCATAAACTTTCAACCCTGCTCTGTTGACATGGGGCTCTGAGCTCGGATGGAGCAATTACACTCCACACATTCAGCCAGAGAGGTGCTTCCTAAACACAGCTAACCATGGTTATCCACCAATTTGCACGACGTTGTGACAAATAGAAGCGCAAAATAGTATTGGAAGAAAGAGCACAATCCTGTCTGCTGTGACAAATCTGTGTCTATTAGCTGCAGACTTATTGAGCTATTGTACAATACAAGTTCGAGGAATTTGCTAATCTTCCAAACACACAGAGAGAAACATCAGTATGGCAATCGAAAAACTAGTGTGAGCACATAGACAATCATGACAGCATGATGCATGAGACCATAACTAATGTGTTGAATCGAATTTAGAATCCAGCACTCCCATTCTGCATATCTACGCAACAATCGCTTCTGGTTTGCAAGACATTTCGATTCAGCTTTCCAATTTGAGACGGACTATCAACCAGTTCAAGCAAAAAACAGGAGCTGAGAAATCAACGCCACATCCACCATCAACAGAAAAACGGACCTCAGGCTTCATAGCTCTCCACTTATTAAATTAGTGTACACAAAGGCAGGGTTTGGATATAAGAAGCTCCAGAACTCAATTCGTAGTCATGGTTAAAAAAAGATCAAACAAACAAATAGTTATCCGATCAATGCCCTAGTTTTTTTTTCTTGGCGTTCGCTTTACCTCCGGAAGATTCTCCCCCGGCGGCCTGTGCCGCTTTCTTGGCCGTCTTCTCCTGCAGAGCCTTGGCGTCCCTGCGCGCAGAAAGCAGAAGAACCCAAAATTCAGAATAACGAACTAGCTCAAAAAGGAAATTGGAAGCAGAAGGAAAAGAAGGAGTAATGACCTCTCGCGGCGCTGTTCAGGGGTCAAGCCATCGTCTTTGCCCTTGCCGCCCTTAGGGTTGCGAGACTGAGCTCTTTCGCGATCCTTTTCCCGCTGATTTCCGCGTGGAGGACCGAACCAAACAGAGTCGAGGAAACAGAAAAGCAGAATCAATAGGGAGAATGAGCGAATGAACCAATTTGAAACTCGTTAGATCCGAACAGGTAAAACTGAAGCTAAGTGATATCGAAGGAGCACGATATAGAAGAAAAAAGGATATGAGTCATGGTAGGGATGCTGCGATTCAAGCGCAGAGAAAGTATGAGAGAGAGAATGGAGCGGGAAGGGTTTAGATTCGAGCGATTGGTTTGGCGGTGGTGCTCTCTTTCTCAACTGCTACGTCGCCTCTCCTACAAAAAGTTTCCATCTGTTATGTCTCTCTCATCTCTCTCTAACGATCGTCTTCTCTGAACCTTCTAACGGTTCTCTTTCCGTCCCCTTAGGTGGGACTCTTCCAGCTCTAACAGAGAGGCTACAAGAGATCCGCTCAGATGTTTGCAAAGATTTTTCTCGGTATAGTGTCAGTCTAGAGGGGGAAGGAGACTGTTATGCTCCAGTAGCAAAAATTCGGGATGAGACTAGACAACACAGGGGATACTCTGCTACTGATACAAAGAAAGGGGCCGTTTGGAAACCACCGGACTGGTGGTGGCTTTGGTTTTCGTGTCAGACTAAGAAGAAGAACAGAAGGGAAGAAGAAGAAAGAGGGTCCAAAAAGCTGTTCTACAAGCAATGTTACACTATTCGAGTACAGAGAAGGGAATCCATTGAGCCAAGAGCCCCTGTCAAGAAAAGGAGAAAACATGGCAGATTTAAACTCAGTCAACAGAGCAATCCAGCGTCTCCTATCTCTGTACTTTGGGGAGATTATGTTGAGCCAAGAGCCAGAGTTAATGGTGAGGCAGAGCTCGTCCTTGTGACCAGGAGCTTCAATAAAGATGATGGAACAAGTGAAAAGAAGGATAGCTACCACGAAGAGTGGGTTTTTAATGCCTCCCTGCCAAGAAGGAGAGCTATTAAGAGGGAAGGAAGAAGCAGTTGTAAGCTCACATTTGATAGATCGATTGGAGAATACTTCTCAAGCCCCTCGCAAGCTCTGCCTTCTCCCAATAGATCCCCAGAACAAAGAACCTCCCCTAACTCCTCATTCTCTATACCCAGCCCCAAAAGACACCCTAACCTTAACATCTTCTTTCACCTTTCGCTTCCCCTGCAGTTTACCAAAATTAGCCAAAAACTGAACCTAAACTCTCATATCCCGTGTACTCTGTTTCTCCCCATAGTCCTCCCAAAACAGAGTCACCTCAAATCCAAAAGAGAATCTGTCGAAATGTATATCAACGATTTAGCTGAAAGAGCAGGGCGCCTAAGCACAGAAAGAAGCATCCCGTCTTCATCTGGTGGCAGAGGTAACCGGCCCCAACTCATTTCCAACGCTGGACGAGGCATATCAATGTTGTTAGGGAAGATGTTGAGCGAGAACAAGATTGCCTTGGCGAAGGCTGCAGGAGCTGCACGATACGCCTGGGGGAGATATGGAGAAGTTGGAGTCCAACCAACCCAAGCTCAGAACCTATTCATCTTCACCTTCAAGGATGCCCAAACACGAGAGAGGATCTGGCTTGAAAGGCCTTGGAGTCTCTCAAACACAATGACAGTTTTGGAGAAGTACGACGGAAGAGGAGAACCAGAAGCAGCCCCGATGAACAACCTGGCGGTTTGGGTGCAGATCCATGGTCTACACCAAAGCCATAGATGCGGACAAAACGTAGTCTCCATCGGTACCTTCTATTTCAATAAGTTCATTGATTTGGACAGAGCTAGCCTCCATTTCAACCTGTATAGAAGGTTTATCCGGATGTTGGCTGAGGTCGATATCCGCGAGCCAGTCCCGACAGGATTTGATTTTCCATCCACTGTTGAAGTCACGGGCCAAGAAATCTGCGAAGTGATTTCTTTCAAGTATGAAAGGTTGGTTGAGCTCTGTTATTTCCGTGGCAGAATTGGCCACAACTGGCCGACCTGTGCTAGGATGAAGGAAGAAAGGAAGAAAGGAGGACATGTGCAGCTCTCGGAGATTTACACGGCGGAGCTCAAAGCAGGGATAGATTCGCCTTACAGGTCGAGCGGAAGCAGGGGCTGGATTGAAGAAGAAGAACCAAGATTCCCTAGCACCGACCCAGAATCTTGGAGGAAACACTATAACTCTGGTGATTCCTATTTGTGCAGGGAGGAGGCAGAGGAAGCAGAGCGCATCTCGACAGGAGGTGTAGAGGGAAGTCATCCCCGAATCCCACCTGGTTTCACTGTTCGGCGTTTGGAGGAGGAAGCTAGGGCGGATGAAAGAAACAGTATGGAGAGGATGAATGGAAGGTTTAGAGAAAGGATGGGGGCAAGGGATTTATCGGCGGACATGGAGTCGTCGACGGCGGCTTTCCAGGGGAGTCTGCGAATTGAAGGAGAAGAGGAGCGCAGGAGGCAGTCAGAGATGACAGCTCATTTGGGCTCTCAATTATCTCTCGGGCCTCACCCCTCCATCTCCCAAGCCCAAGTGATTGTCAATTTTGAGCCCACTCTTTATAACTTGCAGGTCTAAGGCCCTTATCAACATGACCAGGAGGAATTGGAAGGGGAAGTGGGCCGATTTTTAAAGAAAAGAAAAGGGCTCTCCTTCATAAGCCTAGGAGCTTCTGATTTTGGGCTTCATGATGGTGCAAGCCTTAATTTGAGCCCATCCAACTCTGGTTTTGTTGAAGGGGTGAGTGGTAAAGAAAGGAATAAGAAACACCACAAAAAGAAAGCCCACATGATCAATGAAGAAATTCAGGAGGAAGAAGTTAGTGACTCAACGGCAGCAGTGGTTCGCCAAAAGCCACCTCACATCACATGAGTATGATTAGTTGGAATTGTAGGATATTTGGCCAATCCCTTACAAGATGTTATGCTAAACGTCTAATAAGACGTCATGGCCCTTTTATTGTCTTCTTAATGGAAACAAGCAAGGATGAAGTTTTCATGGAAGAGCAAAGAAGATGTATCAAGATTTTCCCTAATAAGAAGTATGTGGAACCGGTTAACTCATCTAGGGGCTTTGCTTTGTGGTGGAAGGAAGGTATTAGTATCGATGTACTTAGTAGTAATAAGTATTATATGGATGTTAGTATCGACATGGGGGATAAGTTCTTTTGCCCTTTTGTTCATGCCCCAACCACTGCTGTAAGTAGGAGGGAGTTTTGGGAGCACTTGGGTACCCTTCGGAATAGTAGGAAAGATAACTGGGTTATTGTAGGGGATTTTAACGCGGCTATCTATGAAAATGAAAAGGAAGGACGATGCCCGCTTAGGTACGAGAATGTTGTGCCGTTCAAAAGATTCATCTTTGATAATGTTCTTATTGATATCTGCTTCAAAGGTAACCCCTTCACATGGTCAAATAAACGTACGGGCCCAAATTTGGTCAAAGTGAGACTGGATAGGGTGTTGTGTTCACCATCGTGGAGAGCAGTGTTTGGAGAGGCTGTGGTTTTCCATGAGAAGATGGTGGTTTCAGATCACTGCCCTCTTAGAATTGATCTCCATTCTATGGGGAACAGGAGAAGAAGAACACCTTTTAGAGTGGATGAAAGATGGCTGGAGAAAGAGGGATGCAAGGAGATTGTGTACAGGGAATGGGACCCAAGTGGATCATCTAGTAATCAACTGAGCAAATGTCAGAGTGAACTGAAAGCTTGGTCAAAAGACTTTCATAGGAACAGTATTCTTAGGGAGAATGAAATTGTTTCCAGACTTGAGACTCTCCAACTCCCTCCAAGGATAATTGAAAATGTTGAAGAAGAGAAGAGCCTTACCGCGGAACTTACCAGATTATGGCTTGAGGAGGAACCTTTTTGGAGTCAATGCTCTAGAGTCGATTGGCTTCAAAAAGGTGACCAAAACACCTCTTTCTTCCACTCTAGCACTATCCATAGAAAACATAAAAATAGAGTCCTTCGTCTTAAAGATGAGATGGGGAGTTGGGTGGATGATGTGACTAGGCTGAAGGATATGGCAGTAGGATTCTACAAAGAGCTTTTCAAAGCAAGGCCTAATGCTTCTTTTACCCACCTTCTCCAAGGGTTCCCAGAGATGGTTACTGAAGAGATGAATGAGGATCTTTGTGCTACAGTTAGCAATGAGGAAAGCAGTTTTCTCTCTTGGGGCGAGGAAAGCCCCGGGTCCTGATGGGTTCTCGGGGAAGTTCTACAGGAGATACTGGGATAAGGTGGGCGTTACCCTATGCAGAGAGGTTAAGGATTTCTTTGAGACATCTTCTATGCCTGAAGGATGGAACAAAACTCACATTGCGATGGTACCAAAGGCGGACCATCCGGAAACCATTGGCCAGTTTCGACCCATTAGCTGTTGCAATTTCAGATATAAAATAATTTCAAAAATCATGGCTACTCGTCTGAAGAGATGGACCCCCTCTCTGGTCTCAGAGCTTCAGACAGCATTCACGGGCGGTCGCCTCATCCAGGACAATATCATTATTGTTCATGAAGCTCTACATCATTTCAAGAACCACAAACGTGGGAGCAGAAGAGATATGATGCTTAAACTGGATATGAAGAAAGCTTATGACATGGTTGATTGGGAATGTCTTGAGACCCTCATTAGAAGGTATGGTTTCGATGAGAAATGGTGCAAATGGGTTAGCGCCTGTATACGGTCGGTCAGTTTCTCGGTACTGTTCAATGGAGAAGCATCAGAAAGCTTCTATCCCTCAAGAGGCATTAGACAAGGAGATCCTCTTTCCCCTTTCCTGTTCATCTTAATGTCAAATGCCCTCACGTTCCTTATTGACAAAGCAGTAGCAGAAGACCGTATCAAAGGAATTAAACTCAACGTGAGATGCCCCACTCTCACTCACTGTCTTTTCGCAGATGACACAGTCATCTTTGGGAAAGCGAACTTGCAAGAGGCTGAGAGGATCCTGGAGATTATCGAAGATTATGGGTCAATCACTGGCCAGGAAGTCAATACCAGCAAGTCTTCTATTTTCTTCAGTGCTAATGTCCCAGAGGCTGAGAAAAATGACATCATCAACCACATTGGGTTTTCTCCGTCCAACTGCCATTCAAAGTATCTTGGAGTCCCAACCGAATGGGGTAATTCAAAAAAGGAGACCTTCTATTTCCTCATCCAAAGGATGGAAAAGATGGGAGAAGCATGGAAGAGCCTACTTCTCTCTCACGGAGGGAAGGAAGTTCTTCTAAAGTCTGTTATTCAAGCCATCCCATCCTTCATCATGTGCCTTTTCCTTCTGCCAGTTTCCCTCACCAAGAAAATGGACACTCTTCTCAGCAATTTTTTCTGGTCAGGATCAATGGATAAGAGTTCCATGCACTGGTGTAAGAAAGAGGTCCTCTGCTCCCCAAAGTCAGAGGGTGGATTGAGTTTCCGAAGCTTTAGAGATTTCAATTTGGCACTCCTTGCCAAGCAAGCCTAGAGGCTTCTTACCAATTCTGATTCTCTGTGGAGCCGCCTGCTTAAAGGATTGTACTTCCCGAGAGGCAACTTCCTTACGTCTAAAAAAGGAAGCAAACCTTCGTGGATCTGGGCTAGCTTGTGGGAATCCAAAAAAGTCATCGATCTGAGAGCGATCAGAGTGATTGGGTCAGGGGAGGATACTTGGATTGATCAAGACCCTTGGGTCCCTTTCCTTCACAGGGAAAGTATTCGGAGTGGCCCTCAAAATCATACAAGAGTCAATGCCTGGATTGATCCAGGAGATAGAAAATGGAATAGTAACCTTATCGAAGGAAATGTTACATCTGCGGAGATGGAAGCTATCTTGAGAATCCCGATTGGTGAGGAAGAATCAAAGGATTTCTGGGCATGGAGTTTAAATGAGGACGGGAGTTTTCCGTCAAGACGGCATACTATGCGGTTCACCATTATGCTTCTGCGGCCCAGCCGATAGGTAATACTGAGAAGTGGAAATGGATGTGGAATCTTGACATTCCCCCTAAGCTTAAGTTCTTTGTTTGGAGATGTGCTAAAAACGGCTTTGCAACAAAAGAGAGAGTTTTCCATATGAAATGCTCCCCCAACTCTACTTGCCAAGTATGCCAGTGTCCCATCGAGTCCCTCTATTATTGCCTGTTCTCGTGCCCCCACGCTGAGGAATCCTGGAACGTTATCTTCCCAAACCTCCCTCTGCCGACTCTCTCTTCCTCTTTCCTGGATTGGCTTTTCTCCATCAAGATTCTATCCATCCGGGAGCCCTTACTCATGTTGTATTCCTTTGTTGGAATATTTGGAAAGCTAGAAATGAATGTGTTTTCAAGAATCGGATTCCTTGGCATCCGAACGTGATTTTGCGCACTTACAAGGAATTCATTGAATGGACAACTTGCCCGAGGTCCCCCCCTCCCGACCCCCCTCCTCATCCTCCTCAGCTCAGGGGATCCCACTCACTGACTTCTCCACCGCCAAGCAATCATAATTTGGTGATTCACTGTGATGGGTTGTTCTTAAGCGACTCCCAGTCGGCGGCATATGGTGTTGTGGTTACTAACCACCATGGAAAAGTTTGTGATGGGCGAGCTGATACTCTCCTTTGTTCCACCCCACTCGAAGCCGAAGCAAAAGCTCTTTTGGAAGGTCTCAAATTAGCTCAAGAATATGGCAGTGAATGTGTTGTCAAGTCTGACTGCCAGGTGTTGGTCAAAGCTCTCGATCATGATCCTAGAGGTTGGCCGTGGAGGGGATCAGCTTGGATTGGTTCAATGATCTCTATCCTTCGGTCGAACCCACAAGTGAAGGTCAAAGCAGTTTCAAGAAAGTTTAATGTTCGGGCGGATTGGGTTGCTCGATCTCTTGCTAGATCTTCTCTCCCAGTTAACTGGATTAGTATTCTTGACTTAATTTCTGATTTCCTTTGATCATTGTAATTGGTTTCTCGAGTTAAAGTGGAATAAAGGATGATTTTTACTGAAAAAAAAGGTTTGGCGGTGGCTATGGCTGCCAGGGTCGACGACGAAAGCCTGGAGGAGATATATAACTTGGAGCTTTTTTTTAACAATAGATAGATTATATTATCAATCACCAAAAGATAGCACTGTTTATACACCAAAAGAACACAACCAATGCTTAAAATGAAAACTCTCTACATTTGCAGACAACAAAGAAAGGGTCTTCCTGGCCACATCATGAGCCACCCGGTTGTCACTCCTGCCAATAAAAGAAATATCAAAACGGTGGAATTGTCGTTGCAGACTCACAATCTCCACCAAAATCCTGCCACCCTTCCTGTCTTGATGATCCCTCCTTTGAATCTTCTCGATGACGACCTTGGCATCCCCGGAAAACATTACATCAGTGAGTCCCTTCAAAGAGCACCACTGAATCGCATCCCGCAAAGCCACCAATTCCACAAGGAATGGATCCACAAGACCTGCATAAAAGAACCCCTTGACAAAACAAACCCGACCCAGCATATCCTGAACCACCAACCCACCCGCGCCATGAGAACCTACCGCCACAGCACCATCGACCTTACACGTATACTGAAAAGAGTGTCGATCCTGCATCTGAGGGCCCACTCTCCCCTCTCCACGTGTCCGCTGGCCCAGCACCGGAACTGGCTGCACAATATTCAAACATTCCCTAACCTGGCCCTCATACTGCCGAAGCAACTCCCTAATACTATACTGAACACCCTCAAAAACCACCCAATTGCGGCTTTTCCAAATCCTCCATAACAATGCCACAACCCGCACTATTCGTTCAGTACCTGAATCCTGTTCAACTAATCGACGGAAAAACGATGCAAAATTGGTGTCCGATGTCGCCAACCCACTCATCACAATGCCCGAGCGGGCCCACAAGTCAGCCGCAACCCTACAAGACAGCATCATATGCTCCAACGTCTCCAAAGGGGCCCAACATACGAGACATTTAGGTGAAACAGTCGACTCATCCTCCATTACCTCCTCCTGGGACACCGAGCTCTGGCCCTTTTTCTCAATTATAGCCTCCATCGTGGGTAAAATACGCCTAATAAGCTGCCACACGAAGAACTTCAACTTCGGCGGGATAGGAAAACTCCATACCTTCTTCCAAAAGCCCACATCAAAGAACGATACCTCATCCTTCCACCCTGGAGCTTAAGCGGTGGATTGTGCGGCTGTTTTTTCCATGGTCCAGGAAACCGGATCGTACCGGCCGGTTGAACCGGACCAGTGACGAAACTGTACGTCAAGTGCAGGGGGGAAGAGCCTGCCGGCAGGCATTGGCAGTCGTGCCGGCCTACCGCGAGATCTCGGGCGGTTTCAACAAAACTGGCGATTCCTTCAGTTCTTGTGAAGCGACGCCATTTTGGTTATGTCCGGATTTCCAAAATGACAAACAGACAAAGAAGCATCACAAACTACAAATACCCTAGGGCAATTGTGTTGCGCAGATTAGAGTCTCGCGCCGCAGCCGCAGCTATCGTTTCTCCAATTCTCCCAACGACTAACGAGGATTGCTCCGACCATCATTCGCGTTTCCTGGCCGCCGTTCGCGTCTCCCAGTCGACCCCGAGATCCAACCGCCGTTTGCGTTCCCTGGAAATCGTGTGGTTCCCCGCAGTCGTTCGCCTCTCCCAGCCGAGCCTGAGAAGGAGAAGGGCACCGCCAGCCTTCGTTCACGTTCCCTGGTCGTCGGTTGTATCCCCCACTGTCGTTCACTTCTCCCAGTCGAGCACGAGAACGAAAATGGTGAAGGGTACCGCGTCGTTCGTCTTCTCCTTTGCAAACTGAGACTTATTTAAAGAGGTGAGTAGGCTGGGTTCTGTAATTGGAATTTCTGATAGCTTATCGCAACGACTAGTGACCGACGCGGATTCGTCTTTATAGAAACCACACTATTCAAACTTCAAATTAGGTACATCTGCAGAATCGTGAATCGTTTGTTGTTTACTAGTTTAAGTTGGGGTTTGAATCTGATTAACCATCAATTATTTATTGCATATGGAATTGTGTACTGTAACGTAGCAATTGTTGATTATAAATGATTGTTGATTCTCTAATTAGAAATTATGTATTACATAGTGGATTAGAAATGATTGATACATTGATTAGGAACAGATCACTGTAAAATGGTTTGCGGGTTGTTGGTATATGATTATATGTTAATATTTTATGATTTGTTATCCAGTATTTTCCGATATTATTCCGGTATTACTCCGAAACGGTTACATGTTTTCGCCGGTACGGTTTTAAAAAAAAAAATTATTATTACAAAAATGGTATTTATCTGTACGAAACGGTTGAACCATGGGCATACCACAAAATACCCTACCAAAATCAAATCCGGTATGATGTCCGGTACGGTTTCCTGAACCATGGTTTTTTCTTCTTCATTTTGAGGGTAAATCTACGTCTACACAATAAATGAAAGCCAAATGAGAAAACTTGAAGCTCCATTTCAAATTTCCTGCTTCCAGAGTGAAAGTAGGAAGGACATTTTGGTCTCCACAGTTACATTTTTTATTAATTAAAAAGACACTTACTAGGATTCGAACCATGACCACTTTAAAGAAAAGCAAAGATCATAACCAATCACACTAAGTACATTTGTTGTATATTTTTAAATTAAAAACATATAATCACAGAGAGGAAAAAACCCTTTCCCCATTTCAAATTCCCTGCTCCAGGAGCGTTTGTAGGAATGGTAGAATAGAGAGTGTCAATCTTTTTTTTCTTTTTCCTCTGTGGAACGGGCCAACTTACCGTACACATGTGGATTTAAACGTGTCCAGGAGTGCCCATTTTTTTCTTTAAGTTCTTTTATTTCTCCGTGGTGGTAAAATATATATGAAAAGGCAAAAACAATACACTTTTTTATTGCTAAAAAGAAAAAAATAACAATAAACTAATGCATGGATTTTGATGGGCTAACCGCTAATCATAAAATAAAAGAGTTGAATGGGCCTGACCTACACGGGATTTGCCCATCAAGTAAAACAAATGAACATCATGGGTTTGTCATTCTAAAACAAGCTATTTTCTCTAGCATAATATATATTATACTATTATTTTATATCTTAGTGGCTAAAATATAATGTATTTTAAAGTTATTCAATGGTTCAACCTCGACCAACCCAATTAGATAGTCCAATTTTTATCATTTCAAATATATATTATGTAATTATTTGATATCATAATGATTAAATTATAGTGTATATTATAGGGAATCGTTTGGTATTTGTTATTAAAAAACTAAACAGAAAGATCTATTTGGTTATTTTTAACATTAAAACGATCCTAAACATTTTCAGTTTCCTTTCGAAATTCTATAGTTTTATTCCCGAATCAATGATGTGCAAATGGCGAATTGCAGTCATCTCTTTTCTTTCATTATTTTTTATTTTCAAATAGAAAGTTTAAAAGTAAAGAATATTTAGCGTTTGGCATGGGTCGGTCAAACATGCTGAATTTCAAGTTTTGGTCCGTTTTGGTCAAGTCTAATTTATAATCACATGGTTCCCTGATACCCGATAAAAATCTCAATCCAAACCAGTTTGGCAGGTGAGTCCGTGTTTACCACCATTTTTAGGGATATAGGAACGGTGGTTACTATCCCAAATCGTGTTGTTCATTCTTGATTTCTTTCGATTTTATCATGGCTTGACAAAAAACTAGAAAGCACAATGATGACAAGATGAAAGTTTTATAAAGCAAATTAATCGACCAACGGGCCGAGTAAAAGCTAGCAACGATTGTGAGATGCTCATACCGAAAACTGGCGGGATAGGCGATTTTTTATTCCATTTTCTGGAATTAGGTTTCTATAAAACTTATTCACCTCATCATATTACCAGAAACAATATTGTTTCACAAGGTAATAGGTACTTGATTTTGGTTCATAAGGCTGATTTTTGATTCGTTGCTTCATTCATGTATCTTTCTTACTAAAATTCACTATTTTTATCACGTGTTTCTAAAAAATACTATACAACAATATGCTATACACCCCATTACATTATCAAATTTCATACCTCACTTTCCTCCGGCAAAATGGACGGGGTCCACGCTAGTTGCATAATTATCGGGATTAATAAAAACTTTCATATTTTGTCACGATATTGTTTTCCATTCGTAGTTATTGAATTTAGTTTAATTTGAATTCAATCTTTCTCCATTAGCGTTTATCAACCTTAGTTAATTAAGTTCGTTATTTGCTGAAGTGGCTAACTGAATTGCCTAATCAACCTAATATAATCCAAAAAAACTTAAACCTGATACACCACATCATTAAATCCTAGGAGTGCATAATTTAAAACCTGGAAATGTTTCTCGACACCACTGGGATGAAGAATGTATGAGCAAGGTACTCCCTTAAGAAAGACTGGAATGCGATCAAGTTGGGAAAAAAGAGAGAAGATAAATGCAGCCACAAAGAAAATGATTAATAGATTGGCCACCAAAGAAATGATGCGTATCTATCGCCAACGCCACCAGTGTTGCCACGACGGATGGACCGAAGGCACAAGCCCAACCCGCGTTATGCTTAGTTCCTTTCCCTTTCCCTTTTTCTTGTTTAGTTTGTTTTATATTTCCTTTCCCTATTTGGTTTAGTTGTACGAATTCTATATATTGGCACCATTGTTATTGAATGGAGGTAAAAAGATTGGATGTCAAGTCATTAGTCTAGACTTGTAGAAGTAAAGTAGAAGTAGCCGTAGATAGTTATAATGCATCAATTGGTTTCAGTGCCTGGTTCGATAGAACCGAGCTCGACATCAACCTAGGGCAAGATTCAACGATGGTCGTTGACGAGGAGGAAGGAGCAGCTCCAACCACCGCTAGCAAGCAGCCACCTGAGGAGATTGTCGACATCACTGAGGCCCCGGACGACGAAGTCTCGCTCTACACCATGTACGATGTCTCTCACCCCGTTACCATCCGACTTGGAGTTACATTGCACGACGATGCAGTCGTAGCCCTAGTCGACATCGGGTCTACACACAACTTCGTGTGCAGCGAGGCCGCGTGCAGATTGTTACTAAAGACGACACCAATTCCACCATTTCAGGTTAAGGTCGCCAACGGTGAAACCCTCGCCTGCACTCGCTAATACGAAGAGATGCCCATAACCTTCCACCAAGAACTAATGGAAGTAGATCTATATGAGCTACCAATTAATGGAATGAATTTGAACTGAGGATTCAAAGGTTACGGCAAATCAGCCCGGTGACCATTGATTGGGAATTATTAACAATGAAGTTTATGAAGGAAGGACAATGGATCACACTGCAGGGAATCAAGGCGACAATAGAGCGAGATGAAAATCTCCATCGGCTTCGACCAAGAGAGTTCGCCACATGGTCCATATGCATGCCGACCGATGGGGAGAAACTCGAAGAACCGCCGCATGAGATGCAAGGACTGCTAAAGGAGTTCCAAAAATTATTTGACACGCCTGCTAGCCTGCCACCATCAGACCCGTCGACCATCAGATAACGCTAAAAGAAGGAACTGAGGCTGTTAATGGAAGACCCTACCGTTACACTCACTACCAGAAGACCGAGATCGAAAAGCAGGTTGGTGAGATGTTGCGTTCTGGGCTCATTCGCCCAAGTTCTAGTCTGTTCTCTTCACCCGTTCTACTAGTTAAGAAAATGATGGATCTTGGAGATTTTGTATTGATTATCGTGCCCTAAACTATGTCATTATTGAAGACCGATTTTTGGTACCTACGGTCTATGATATATTGGACGAATTGCACGGAGCAAAGTACTTTACTATGCTAGATCTGAGCTCGGGGTATCACCAGATTTGAATGAGAGAGGAAGATATTAACAAAACCACCTTCCGGACACATAATGGCCCCTACGAATATCAAGTCATGCCCTTCGGATTGTGTAACGCGCCGTCGACGTTCCAAGAAGCCATGAATGATTTATTTCGACCCCTGTTGCGAAGGTATGTCCTGGTACTTTTTGATGATATACTTGTTTGTAGTCGTAGTTTGGAGGAACATATGAAACACATGGTAACGGTGCTGGAGGTGCTTGGACGACATGGGTACTACCTTAAGAAGACCAATTGTGTGTTCGGATTGCGGAAGCTCGAGTACCTCGGGCATATGATTTTCGACGAGGGAGTACAGTTAGACACCTAAAAAATCCAAGCAATGATCGATTAACCAGAACCGCAAACCATTACCGAGCTTCGCGGGTTTCTCGGGCTTACGGGGTATTACCGAAATTTCGTGCGACGTTACAACACTATCGCTCGCCCTTTAACAGAGTTACTGAAGAATGGGAAATTTGCGTGGACCAAGGAAGCTGGGGAAACTTTTGAAGAGTTAAAGCGGGTTTGACTACAACATCTACCTTAGCCATGCCTAATTTTGACTAGCCATTCGACATTGAAGCATACACATTCGAAAAGGGAATTGGGGTGGTGTTCTATCAACGAGGACATCACATTGATTATATGAGTCGTACAATGGGACCCACGAAAGAATCCTGGTCTACATATCAGAAAGAGATGTATGCGGTCACTAAGACAATACAAATGTGGCGACCCTACCTTTTAGGTCGGACCTTCAATATATACACCAACCAACAGAGTTTGCGTCACATGTTGGAACAGAAAATCATTAACCCAGATCAACAGAAGTGGGTGACCAAATTGTTCGGTTATGATTTTAAGCAGTGTTATTAAAACCGGACCGAGCCAGTCGGTCGGACCGGTAAAACCGACACCTGGCCATCATTTTGGTTTGGAACCCTAATAAAACCGCAACGGTCAGAAAGGACGGTCGATAAGCGATCCGAGCGGTTAATCGCTCAAACCGTTCGGACCGGCCAGTCGGTTCGCATCTAAAGCTCCCAAACGACGACAACCACCTCTCGCCTGCAGCGATCTGAACGAAAAATAGAAGAAATTTCCCTAAAATCGGAGAACCAAAAATCCCAGAGAGGGACATCATTGGACTTTTTCGTTCCATTTGCTTCGATCCGTCGATTCAAATGATATACTTAGTCGTCGGAGAATGGGAAGGATCTTCTGTTCTTGAGCTCTGGCACTCAAGAAAGGGATGGATCTTCTAATTCACGATTTGGGTTTGTTTTGGTTTCATCTCTCGGATTTAGTATTTGGAAGGATCTGTCTTCGCGTTTGTTTTGGAGCACATTCTACAATGAGATTTGGACATTTGGCCTTTGTTTGTTAGATGCGTGATCAGAGGGAAGGGGAGATGGAGGCTAAGGAGAAACAAGGAAAGGAGGTAAGGATGAGAAGTGATGGAGAAAAATGGAAGGGGCGGCTGCGGCTAGGTTGAGTTGGGAGAGGTAGGGTTTTCATATATATATAAATGTGAAATTAATAAATGGTACCTGTAAAGTAAATTAAATTTTAGTCATTAAACTATTAAATTACTATATTACGTGTCTTCTACTTATGATATTATTATTTATAAGATACCGGTTCTCTAACGGGATTTTATCGGTTTAATACCGGTTGGACCACTATAGTGTGAGCCATTCACGTTACCGGATCATACTCCGGCTCGGTTCTGAAAATATTGATTTTAAGGTCCATTACAAGCCGGGATTATCTAACAAGGCGACAGATGGCTTGTCACGTAGAAGAGGGAGTATATGTCTTAATTCAATATCCAAACCAAAGGTCACCCTATGGGACGAGCTACGAGAAGCTGTTACCATAAGCCCGTATTTATAGGAGCTTCATCTAAAGGCTTTGCGGTGTTTTACCCAGCAACAACCACGACGGTGGCTAAATCTATTACCCTGGGTTGAGTTTGGTATAACTCCGCCTATCATCGAACGATTGGCACCTCTCCATTCCATGTGTCTCTATAATTCCCTATCATGGCCACGCCAGCCGAGTTGTGGGGACAGCTTCGCAACACTTTAGCTGGAGCTAATCTTCGAGCTAAGTAGTTGGCCGATGTTAGTCGTAGGGATGTTAATTATGATGTCAGCGACTGGGTTCTTCTATGTTGCACAGGTATCGACAGTCTACCATTTTTCTTGGAGCTTCCCAAAAACTTGTCGCTAGGTATTTCGGACCCTACAAGATCAGCGGAAAGATGGTAATGGTGACGTATCGGCTTGAGTTACATGCAGAGTCTAGAGTACATCCCGTGTTCCATGTGTCCCTACCAAGCGATATGTGGGAGAAAGCATTCCGGCCGCAGTTCCGGAGCCACCGATCACCAATGATGGGGAGTTGGAGGTAGTGTCGCTGCAAGCTGTGGATCATCTTTGGACGAGATCAAATGGGGTCGTCACGGAAGAGTGGCTCGTCCAATGGCATCATTTGTCGTGTGAGGAAGCTACATGGGAGTCGGTTGAGACCCTTCGTGTACGAACTCTATATATTGGCACCATTATTATTGAATGAAGGTAAGAAGATTGGAACTCAATTCATTAGTCAAGATCGTAGAAGTAAAGTAGAATTTATCCATAGATAGTTATAATGCATAAGAAAAACTTATAGCGCGGGGGAAGAATTTATCTAGTATGTGTTTACCATCTACAGATGGGATAGATAGCAACAAGGGTGCATCTGTTTTTGTGTAGTGTTCTTTCGTTAAGACTGTGTTGCAAAAGATATAATGATGAAGTTCAAGTTTAGAATATGCATCGTTAAAAATAAAATTTTGACAGGATCGAATTCGAGCCTTAATAACAGAGACTAACGATAGTCTATTGTTCTACCACTCTCTACTGATTCCCGGCCTTAATACTTTCATACATAGACGACCTACGACGATCAATTATTCAGAGATCTAACGACTACAACGCCCTATATATATCCTATTCCTAGACTATACGTAGCTCCGCCTCCACTTGTTACGACAACTGGTCTCGTGTATGATGGGAAAAGGGGGATGATGAAATCAATTAATTAAGGGCACTTGGGTTTGCCTTGTTTGGATTTCCAGTTGTTGTAGCAGGCGCATTCCTCCTTGTTGCCGTACGTCCCCGAGGGAACACACAAGCATGTTGCGCAGCACTTTTTGCAGAAGAAGAGGCACGGCTTCCTGTGGTGCGTCTTCGAACACCGGTAACTACATGCTCCGGCGCACTGATACGGACGCAGCGACCCTCCTCTGTCACCCTGCAGCCAGCCATATTCATTGATTGCATATATAGTCAGTCTAATCAGTTCGCCCGTAAAAACAATTACACAACACAAACTAACTATAGTCGACAATCTGTGTGATTGATGAATTAATTAAGATGAGTACAAACGTGGGTGAGTTGAGCAGCAAACGCCATGGCAAGAACTAGAAGAAGGACAGCAGAGGATGGGAGCCATGAAAGCCGCCTACTTGTCGTCATTTCTTCTGATCGATCTTTTTGCTGTGTGGATTGATTCTGAATCATGCATGAGCATGATACTAAGTAATATATACACGAATTATATGGTAGCTAGATTCACGACGTGGGATGCGGCCGGCAAGGATTTTTATTTTTTTTGGGTAATTAATTTAATGGAGGCGAGGCGAAGCTTATTATCGATCGGTTTCCCGTGTACGTATTATTTTCTCCATTCTGTTTCATTTTCCCTTTTTTCATGGATGCTGCCTGATTACAGGCAACCTTAAAATGGAAATAACAAATACTACCTTAGCTATATTTCAGGGTCGTATATCCCCCTTAAGTGGTGGACGAACAAGGGATTGGCAAGAAGATTAATTAAGTTTGTTTGTTGTTGTTGTTGTTGCCTTCAGCTGGTCTCTGCACTTGTTAGTAGTGTGCTTGTCTGAGTCTGGTTAGCCAGTGTGTGATGAATGGTCTGGTGATGAAAGAGCACTGGATCTTAGACTCGGAATTCTATAGCTGGACCATAAAGCTGCTTCACCAAACATGATCAAAATTAAAATTGTCGTAACATGAATGTGATCACAATTTTAACCACTTTTGTTGCAAACGTACTCAATTGGGTTTTGAAATTTTGATCAAAGTCGCTTTGGCCGAGTGGTTAAAGCGTGTGCCTGCTAAGTACATGGGGTTTCCCCGCGAGAGTTTGAATCTCTCAGGCGACGAAATTTATTGTTATGTTTTTACTTCTTTCACAGCTCTCCATCCCATCTTGCTCCGCCTCGTGCTCTTGCTTCTTGGTTGCCGCCGGCTAGTTGCCTCAACTTGAACTTCAAATGTAGTTTTTCCGGCCATCCAATCATCCTACAGAGCTCTTGACAGCTGAGGATGCTTTGCGCTGCATACATACATACAACTCTTCCAACTTTTACCAGCTAGTGTTTGAAATTAATGGGGATGCTGAGATTGTATTCAGTTGAAGTCTTCATTGTCTTAGGATGGAATGGAATAAGTTTTGAAAAGATTGGGCTGGGGATCTGTTAGGAACGGAACAACAAAAGGAACGAGGTTACCGAATCTGGAGCTGAGTCGCGGACTAGGTCGCTTTCTTTAAGACGTTCGCGGCACTGCCTTTGATGCGCACGGCAGACTATCAACCGGTCGTCTCCAGGATAAAACAGCTCCTCTCAATACTCGCGGTTTTGTGCGAAAACCGAAGCTCTCTAAACACTCTCTCTATTGTGTTACTGCTCGTTGTGATATGTTTAGAGGGGCTGGGGAGGCGGCTATTTATAGGAGCCGAACCCCTAGGAATATACCCTCTTGCTTGGGGAATAAGTCGGATTAATTAAGGAAGATAATTACTTCCTTAATTAAAACCGTCGGTTAAGATAAACCCGGAGGGATTATCCTTCGAATATTCCGTTTTAGTCGATTATTCTTAGGAATATACCTCAGAATAACAGATTAATAATTAATTATTAAATAATTAATTTCGTTCGGAATTTCTCCAAAAATATATATATAGTCTCAAGTGAACCAACCAACCAACCAACCAACCAACCGACCGACCGACGGCGCGCGCGCGCGCGTGTGTGTGGTGGTCCATTAGGTCCTCCCTCTCCCACAAAAGTGGGTCACCCCAAGGGGCATGCCCTTGGGAGAGAGGCTCCTATCTTTATACACATTTCACCAAGTAAAACTACCAATGTGGTAGTTTTTTCCACTAGAGACTCTATAGCTTTCAAAGCTATTCATATACATTCATTTCCAACAATCCCCCACTTGAATAGTTTTGAAACTATCTCTGAGCATCAACAGTTCCATAAGATCGGGCATAAGCTAAGGTATCGCGAAGATTTGAACCTTAGCGTAGTGGTTACACTTCCGATTTCATAAGGGTGACTCGTAGTCTTGAACCCTATCTCAGACAGTGTAGCACACCGGATCTTTTCATTGAGTTGTGTTCTCTTCATAGCCCGTGCGTTTATGGCCATGCACGTTACCCTGGTTTAGTGAACGCTCTAGCAACTTTGTGCCTCCAAAGTTCCATAGGGAGCGGCCCCACTCCCACATTCACATAGGTGAGTCTATCAAGAGTACCCCCAAAGTAAAGTACTCCACCCCACATAGGGTATAGATCTCATTAAGAGTTATTAACTCAACCTCCATTGCTTTGGGATTCATGCTTCACTATGCATGAACTTTTCGCATACTACTCATGACTTGTTATTACCCATTGAACCCATTTCTTGGGATCTCCAGTCTATTGGGTCGGGTTACCATCACTTGTAGTCCGTGGTTCGGTAGGCATAAGTCCCATACCCTTGGCGGTATTCTGGACTTTCTCTCTAGGTAATCCTTTCGTCAAAGGATCAGCTAGATTCTGTTCGGATCTTATATGATCCACCCTCACTGCTCCTATCGTTAGGAGTTCTCTTACAGTACTGTGCTTACGACGAATCTGTCGTTTCTTTTCGTTATAGAACCGGTTCTCAACTTTAGCGATAGCTGCGGTACTATCACAATGGATCAATACCGGAGGGACCGGTCTTTCCCATAGGGGAATCTCTGACAACAATCCTCTCAACCAACTTGCTTCTTCACTAGCCGTTGCTAGTGCTATCATCTCTGATTCCATAGTTGATTGAGCTAGGATTGTTTGTTTCTTTGACTTCCAAGACACAGCTCCACCAGCGATGTTAAAAACATACCCGCTGGTTGCCTTGGAGTCATCTGATAGGGTATTCCAATCCGCATCACTATACCCTTCTAGTACAGCAGGAAACCTTTGATAATGTATACCAAGGTTTGCTGTTCTCTTGAGGTATCTCATGACCCTCTCTATAGCATTCCAATGCTCTCTACTAGGACAGCTGTTAAACCTGCCAAGCAATCCCACGACATATGCAATGTCTGGTCGAGTGTAATCCGCAGCATAACGGAGACTGCCAATGATGCTAGCATATTCTGATTGTCTTACACTGTCTCCAGTGTTCTTAAATAGCTTTACACTAGCATCATACGGAGTACACGCAGGTTTACAGTCGAAATAGTTATACTTCTTCAAGATCTTCTCTATGTAGCTAGATTGATCTAGAGAATAACCATTTGCTGTTCTAGTTATCTGGATTCCAAGCATAAACTTTGCTTCTCCCAGATCTTTCACTTCAAAGCTCTCTTTTAACATGGCTTTTGCTTCATTGACCACGTGAATATTTGTTCCAAATATCAACATGTCATCTACATACAAACATATGATAGTACAAGTGTTATTTTCTGACTTGCAGTAAATACACTTGTCACTTTCATTCACCTTAAAGCCATGTGAGAGAACGAGAGTGTCAAACTTCTCATGCCACTGTTTTGGAGCCTGTTTCAAACCATATAATGATTTGTCTAACTTACAGACTTTCGAGGCATGTTCGGGGATAACAAACCCTTCTGGTTGTTCCATATAGATTTCTTCATCTAGATCACCGTTCAAAAAAGCGGTCTTAACATCCATTTGGTGTACCACGAGATTGTTCAAGGCAGCAAGAGCAATCATTACACGAATGGATGTTATTCTAGATACTGGTGAATAGGTATCGAAGAAATCTATATTCTCTCTCTGCCTGTAGCCCTTAACTACTAGGCGAGCTCGGAACCTTTCGATTGCACCATCAGGTTTCCGTTTCGTTTTTAGAACCCATTTATTACCTAAGACTTTGCAGCCAGGAGGTAAGTCTGTTAGATGCCAAGTCTTATTAGCTTCTAACGATTCCATTTCATCTATAACGGCCTCATTCCAAAAATCTACATCTACGGAAGTTAATGCTTCCTGCAAACTTTTTGGATCTTCGAGGGTGAATACTGTAGTAAAGTCATCACCAAAATCTTTAGAGATTCTAGCTCTTTTACTTCTTCTGAGTTCATCCTCAGAACCAACACCCCCACTAGTTCCGTTATCTCTAATAGTAGGTAGTACATTACCCCCACTATTTCTTGTTTTAAATGGAAATCGTGTCTCAAAGAAATCAGCATCAATGGATTCTATTATAGTACGAGCATTCAAATCATAGAATCTATATGCCTTACTATTGGCCGCATAGCCAACGAAGACACATTCATATGCTCGACTAGCCAATTTAATCCTCTTAGGATCCGGAATTCTTACGTAGGCCAAACAGCCCCACGTTCTTAAATAGGACAGATTAGGTGGCTTATTCTTCAAGATCTCATAGGGTGATTCTTTTCTATTAGTTTTTGGAAGACGGTTTAGCACATAGCAAACTGTCAACAAAATATCACCCCACCAAGAAGAAGCAGCTCCAGAATTGAGCATAATAGCCACGACTAATTCTGTAAACGTCCTATTTTTCCGCTCAGCTTTACCATTCATTTCTGGTGAATATGGTGCCGTGGTTTCATGAATGATACCATGTGAGCTATAGAATTCCTTGAAGGGATTAGAGTCATACTCTGATCCTCTATCACTCCTAAGTCTTTTTATCTTTCAATTGCACTGATTTTCAAATTCAACCACAAATACCTTGAACATATCAAGGGCTTCACTTTTGTTTTTCATCAAATAAACAAAACAATAATCAGAGCAATCATCTATGAAAGTGATAAAGTATCTCTTGCCAGACCTAGTTAACGTCCCATCTAGTTCACAAATATCAGAATGAATAAGATCTAAGGGTTCTGATTCTCTACTCACAGATTTATGGGGCGTTTTCGTTATTTTAGCTTGGCTACAGAAATCACATTTATCAAATTCATTCATTGAGAGTTTAGGGATATGCCCTAGCTTGCTTAAATTCTTCACAATTCGTGTGTTCACATGACAAAGACGAGCATGCCAAACATTCAAATCACACACCATGTAAACTGAAGAATTCATCTTATTAATTTCGACATTCAACTTGAACATCCCATTACATGCATATCCCTTTCCCACAAAACTCCCATTCTTAGTAAGGGTATACAAGTCTGCCCCAATAGTTTGATTAAACCCAGCCTTATTAAGAAGATATCCCGAAACAAGATTCTTCCTTATCTCTGGAGTGTGCAACACATCCTTGAGCACCATCTTCTTCCCAGAGGTGAAGTTCAGCTCCACTTCACCAGAACCAGCAACCATAGTAGTGTGGGTAGTCCCCAACAATACTTTCTTGTCAGCAGGTGCTTCTGTGTATGTTTTGAACATAGCACGATTGTTGCATACATGCTTCGATGCACCTGTATCCAACCACCATCCTTCTGAGTCACCGGTGAGGTTAACTTCAGCGATCATATCTGTGATCATGGCTATCAAATCCTCTTCTGTCAAGTTAACCCTGGCCGCAGCGGCAGGGTTTTGCTTGTTCCGGCACTTCTTTGCCATATGACCCGGTTTTCCACAGTTATAGCAGATAAACGGTGGGTCATTCTTAGAGGTTTGGGCCATGACCCTTTGGTTACCTCGAGAGGCACCATTCTGGTGGGGGCGGACCTGCTGGTTCTTACTCTTAAACCCTTTCTGGTTAGGTTTAAGAGCTCTAGGGGTGGGTCGTTTAGCAGTGACGACCATCACCTCTTCTTTCATATCCTGCTTGCGGGACTCTTCCTCAATCCTTAGGCGAGTAATCAAGCTTTCCAGTGAAAATTCTTTGGTTTTGTGCCTAAGCATATTCTTAAAATCTTTCCACGAAGGGGGCAGCTTATCAATAATGCAAGCAACTTGAAATTGATCGTCCAGAGGCATACCTTCAGAGACGATCTCATGAGCTATTTTCTGAAGTTCGTGGGACTGAACTTCGACGGACTTGTCATCCACCATCTGGTAGCGCAGGTAGCGGCTGACAGCATACTTCTTAGCTCCAGCCTCCTCCGTGTCGTACTTCTTTTGAAGCGCATCCCAGATCATCATCGCGGTGTTCTTACTGTCCGCATAGTAGTCGTACAGATCGTCTGCCAGGCCGTTGAGGATGTAGTTCTTGCACAGGAAGTCATGCTCCCTTTCCCTGGCAGAAGCAGCCCTCTCCTCATCGGTCGCTTCTTCCAGCAGCTCGACAGGCATGCTGGTGAGGCAGTGGGCCAGCTTCTTGGTTGTCAGGTAGAACTCCATCTTTTGCCTCCAGCGACGGAAGTTGACCCCAACGAAGCGAAAGGGTCGATTGATATCGACAGCACCAGATCCGGCCATGTTGTTCTGTTCAGTCGACATAGCAGCAGCCGAACGTCTTAAAATTGTTAGGAACGGAACAACAAAAGGAACGAGGTTACCGAATCTGGAGCTGAGTCGCGGACTAGGTCGCTTTCTTTAAGACGTTCGCGGCACTGCCTTCGATGCGCACGGCAGACTATCAACCGGTCGTCTCCAGGATAAAACAGCTCCTCTCAATACTCGCGGTTTTGTGCGAAAACCGAAGCTCTCTAAACACTCTCTCTATTGTGTTACTGCTCGTTGTGATATGTTTAGAGGGGCTGGGGAGGCGGCTATTTATAGGAGCCGAACCCCTAGGAATATACCCTCTTGCTTGGGGAATAAGTCGGATTAATTAAGGAAGATAATTACTTCCTTAATTAAAACCGTCGGTTAAGATAAACCCGGAGGGATTATCCTTCGAATATTCCGTTTTTAGTCGATTATTCTTAGGAATATACCTCAGAATAACAGATTAATAATTAATTATTAAATAATTAATTTCGTTCGGAATTTCTCCAAAAATATATATATAGTCTCAAGTGAACCAACCAACCAACCAACCGACCGGCCGGTCGGTCGGTCGGACAGACGGCGCGCGCGCGCGTGTGTGTGGTGGTCCATTAGGTCCTCCCTCTCCCACAAAAGTGGGTCACCCCAAGGGGCATGCCCTTGGGAGAGAGGCTCCTATCTTTATACACATTTCACCAAGTAAAACTACCAATGTGGTAGTTTTTTCCACTAGAGACTCTATAGCTTTCAAAGCTATTCATATACATTCATTTCCAACAGGATCACCCATTATAGAGCTGGTTTGGTTGGATGTAATTAGGAGGGTGAAATTGCAATTGTACTCAATTGAATAATTACCTTCTTTCTTCTTCCATCCTAATTGCATTTTTGCATATAATTTGTAGAAAATGAACTTCAAAGGACTAGGATGTATATGAACAAGAGATTTTAGGTGAATCTTCAAGATTGTGTTATTATCTTCAAAGTTTAGATAATAATTTATAATTGAAAAAGTGAATTATACAATGAAATTCCAAGCGATTTTCTCCGCCAAGAAAAATGGAACGGTATAATAAATTCTTACAAGTACAATAATGTTAATTGGAATGTAGACACCCTGATTAATCTCAAGAAATCAAATTGTAGCGCAGCCTCCAATTAGCATATATGAACCATATATTCGGAATTAGTTTACCAAACACACATAATAATACACACAGACCAAGGAAAAGGTGAATGAAAATAGCAAAGCATCGAAAAGAAAACAAAGTGCAGGGAAGGGAAGGAAGCAAGTAGATCACATCACAGGGAGAGACAAGACAATCAAATCAAAAGGAAAGGAAAAGAAACCCAAACCATCCTTCCTTCCTTCCCCTGCTCTAGTTCACTTCTCTACCCATCCTCTGCTTTTTACTCTGTTCTTGGCTGTCTCTCCCTTTTGCTTTTCCACTTTACCACCTCAAAACAAATACGAAACTGCATACAATCTTCAATACGCCAACTTCCCTTTCATCTCCCACTATAACACTCTCACTAGCTCCCACTCCCCGGCTTTTCTTTTCTTTTCTTTTCTTTTCTTTCGGCTTCCCCCTCACAACCTCTTCATGGCGGCATCGCCATGGCTGCACTCTGCCTCGCTCCTCAACCACATTCTTCTGTTCATCGCCACATTGCTATTTCAGCAGCAGGGACAGGGAGGGGTGGTTATGGTGGAGGCAACATCGTCATGGTGCGTGGCTCGAAGCGACGCTAGCTACCAGGCGCTGCAGACGGCTCTGGACTACGCATGCTGGGCAGGGGCCGACTGCACGCCCATCCAGTCAGACGGTCTCTGTTTCCTCCCCAACACAATCCAAGCTCACGCTTCCTACGCATTCAATAGCTACTACCAGCGCAAGGGGATGGCCCCTGACTCCTGCGACTTCTCCGGCACTGCCAATATCGCCCGCACCGATCCCAGTCAGTCACCCTCTCTTCTCTTCCCCTCTTTCTTTCTTTCTATGTTTATCTTTCCGCTTATACTTTTGGGGTTTTTCTTTTTTCCCTTCTACTTCATGACAGGCTATGGATCTTGCGTCTATCCCTCTTCTCTCAGGTATGTTATGCTTGCTATGATTAACCATCAATGATGCTTTCCATCACACCTGTTCAAGTTTCAGCAACCATTTCAAGTCTGTCTGACAAAATTCACATTTCTAGAGACACAAAAGCAGCTGCCACTTGGATACTACAACTTTTGACTGTTTATGCCAAACTTGAACCATAGGTTTCCTCGGATTACTATAGGCTTTTGCTAAATATAATAATGATAATACTTGTTTCTTGCCCCTTGATCTCATGTTCATACCATACCATACCATGATTGAAAAGGGTACAAAGTGCCTATTAAGAATCTTTAACTTCACCTTTTCTTGGCTTCTGGGACACCCTCCCTCTCTTTTCACCCTTGAAACCCTCCATTGATCATCTCCTTAATAACTAATCAAATCATGATTACCACCAAGCAAAATGAATGATTTTGTTGTTTGGTTTAGGGGTTTGACAGGGGATCTCCTGGTTCTGTATATGGGACCTCCTTCATCTCCATGTCTTGTACCTACTCATCAAACAGCTTTGTGAATGACTTTGCATTTGAATAATGCTCCTGCATGTTTCTCTGATGCACTGCAATCTTATCCAGCGCGGCAGGAGGGGCAGCTACACCCACAATGCCGACAACTAACCCCAATTCGCTCACACCGCCGGTGACCACCACTACTACTCCGACCACCATCACCGACCTTTCTCCACCGATGCCCACCGACAACTCCAAAGCTTCCATCAGACCCATGGACATTGCAATGCTACTGCCTGCTGCCTTTGTGCTCCTACTCTTGTTTAGTTTCTGAACTGAATTCTAAACCAACCTGTTGAGCCAAGGCAGCAGCTACTCTTCCAAACACTGGAAAAGCTGCCACAGTTTTGTCAGAGAAAAAGGTTGCAGAAGCTGGCCTTCTTTTGTTGATTCCTGGAGTGAGTATCAATTTTCAGAGAGAGCTTCAGAATAGAATGGCAGAAACAGATCTTCAATTTTCTTTCCCTTTCTTTCTTTCTTTCTCTCAACATTTTTCTCTCGGATGGTTACCAATTGTATCTAGAATAACCCTACTGTAGTCACTATACTTGTAGGTCTACAATTCAATTCATGATCCTTGATAGGAGATCATATTGATTCTCTCTTGATTCTTGCCACGCTTCATTCAGTCATTTGGTGCTCCTAACGAAACCCGACTGTGGGTTTCTTCTAATAAATAACTCCTAATGTAAATTCTATTCTCCTGGTTCTATAATTCGTTTCCGAGGATCTCTCAACTTGCACTGTCAACTACCTTTACTTACTTACTGCCTGCCAATGCTTCTGTGGGTTTATCCACGCAGGCACCTTTCAGGTTCTCTAACTATGTAAACAATGTCGCCAGCAAATTCAGCGAACTCCAGATTCCTGTGCCAACTCCACAGAGCATATGTATCATTTTTCACCTGCAAGATAAAGAAGGGGATGAATCAATAAAATCAAACAAAGAAAAGTTTCAACCTTTGTTGCAAGTCATTTGTTTCTTTTTCTGGGGAAGTAAAGAGCTTGGATGGATGGTGGAGAGCAGGTAAAGGAAAAACCTCTAGAATCCCATGTCCAAAGCTGGTTTCTCTGTACGCACTATACTCGGGCTGCTGATCCCAGCAGAATTTCCCAGCTGAAGTGGTCCCTGAAGTGAAGTTGAAGGCACAGAACCCACCAATATCGGTGTCCGGGGTAAGAGATGGGTCCGGACAGTAACCAGGATCATCAGCATGTGTTATGGCCATCATCTCACGACTCCCTCCAGCTCCCACGGTGATATAAACTGGACCGCAAGGATCCAGAGTGTAGTTGTAGACCCGGTTTGATCTCTCATATGCATGAACCTGCAGTTTTAGTTGTTCGCAAATCATGAATCGAACTCCCTGGAATTTTCTAAATGGAGATGAAGTGAAATTGTTGTTTGTTACATGGCCATTGAAGACTATGTCAACTCCATAGCTGTACAGCAAGTCCTCCATCTCAACTCTCATGCACTCAGCAGCTCGGTATTGTTCTCTGAAAGTGCTGTACCATGAAGGATGCCAAGCCGCTATCAGCCATGGGGTCTGCCCTCTGTCAACATTGTACAAGTCTGTTTCTAGCCATTTATACTGGTCAGCTGCAAAAGCAAAAAGGAAGAATGAAAGCAGAAGTAAAGTGAAACTTCATTACAAAAGCTACCAGGAATTGGGCATGACCCATGCGAGTAACATAGTGATCTCTGCATTTGGAAAGGAGTTTAATCGTGAGGAAAACATACATGACATGTCAAAAGTAGTGTAGGGACTGAGCATCACAAAATGGATCCCTCCTGCATTGAAAGAGTAATAGAGTGTGGAAGATGAACCACTCTCTTCAGACGGGAACGCAAATCTGGAACTGTATGACACGAATATCTGATCATCAACTTGTGGTTCTATCTCATGTTTCCCTCCAATTACCATTGTTGGAACATTAGCCGTTAGAGTCTGCATCAACCTGATTAAACAAAGTACAGGGCACCAATAAATAATAGCAAGCAAACAAATAATCAGCTCGATTTCATCCAAAAAAAGGGCTGTGTGGACTTTTTTTTTTGTTCTAACCTTCCCCAGCAATCCCATCGTGGCTGATAAGTTTCATGGATGGGAGTATCCGAAAAGGAGCAAGCATAGCAATCAGAGCTAGTTCCATTGGTGAGATACATGTCAGCATAACTTAATCCCCCAACCAAGACCACAAGATCAGCATGGTTGGTGAGGATATGGTCCACTGTTGTGCTGCTATTTTGAGTGAGCCCTAAATCTCCCACCACCGCTATTCTCGGTGGATAATCTGTGGGGCTGGAAACCGGCATTGTCCTGAAGTAAAACACACTGCTCATTGCTTCTATGGATGGATCTCCACACTGGTATTGGTAAAGTGTTGCAGGTTCCAATCCTAGCAAGATATGGGGAAATCTCAGTCACCAATTAGCTCATCCTAATCACCAGAAAGACACCGAATTCCGAACGAATAGCTTCATCGAACTGCACTCGTGAACGTTCCATGAACTAACCACAATCCTGTGATCAAATCAGTTGCATTAACAATACAAGAGAAAGAACCTGTAAGGCGAACGTGGTGTATGATTCCAGAGGTGTAGTTCTGGAGGCCTTGGAAAGGGTAAAGCTGAGTGTAGACAGTGGAATAGCCTCGTGCTTCATAGTCCATTGCATACCCTGAAACTCCACACTGAACCACGCTGGCAACTGAGTCGGGTTCGTCGTAAACAACTTGGGAATCACCTGCCAATTCAAAACCGTTCAACCCCAATCAGGAAAAGGGGGGGAAAACATTTCTTGTCTCAACTGTCCAAGCATCTCAGCGATATGGGTAAAGAAAGAGATGACTAACAGACCTGTGATCCAAGAGACCCAGACGGAGTCATAATTTGAAGACAAGGAGACAGAGATTTGCTCAGGCTGGAAACCCTCTACGTTCCTTCCCACTTGGTCGTCGTCGGCAGGCAAATCAATTGCATTCCCGGTGAAGTATTTGCTGGCAAGAGGTGCAGAAATGGGGGCGAAGGGGCCCTGGAGGGTCGTTGGGAAATCGCCATTAACATGGTCGGGCGTGAAGCTCCATAATAAGAGTGGCATAATTAGGTGGAGTGAGATGACAATGAGGCAACCCATTTGTTAGTGTGGGGGGTGATTTTTTTTTCTCCTTTGCTTGGGATTGGTCAAACAAAGTCGCGAGCTTTTCTGTTACGGAATCAAAGTGTCGAGCTTTAGAAGCGGAGGAGAAGAGAAGATGGGATGAAGGGAAACCATGGATATAGGGGCACAGTCGGAGCTGAGAAGTTGGATAGATTGGAGAGACACAAGAGAAGAGGGTCATGCAGAAAAGGTTCACGAGTCTACATAACGGGAGCCTGTAACCTAAAAAATAAATACTAATCAAGTCATTATCCTCCTCCATACGAGCAAATTTAAAGGTCTCCTGTCGTTTTCTATTTGGAGTTTTTTTTAGAAAACTTTTTGGAACGGAAGGATCTTTGGGAAGAGGATGTGGAAATCGGAACTGTGGCTAATTGTGAAGAAGAGAAAACAAAACATCCGAATTGCGAATTATGAATGGCATGGGGGGTTATCTACTCATTGGGTATTTTAGTATTTTATTATAGGTGCATGTCCGGACAAGACAGGTCGATTCATAGAACAAGTATTTTATTATAGAGCCAAGGTCGGGATAGGTCATATAAACATATAACTTAAAAAAATATTCATTTTGCATTAAAAATAAAACAAACAAACTATTACAAAATAAATATAGTTAAATTATTTGAAAAATTAAGATTTTCGCATATTTATAACTTGTTATGACTAATGTATGAGGTAATTATTACATAATTAACAATGCAAGTGTATTGCAATGTTTCTCGCTAAGTTTTAGGGGAATAGAATTTTTTATTACTCACCATAAACTCTTTATCATTAGACCACATAGTACGAAAGTTTTGTGTAACACTATTCTATAACAGTTACGTAATTACAAATATATTATAAAAAAAAAGTTAATACCTTATTTTGGCTCGAATTATACGTTAATAATCAACTTTAACTTGTGGTTTCAGAAATTGCTATCATGACCTCCACTATATATACTCAATTGACAGGAAGTTTTTTTCACCGTCAATTTGGACAACCAACGATCCAGCTCAATGTCAGCACCAATTAAAAAAAAATTCAAATTACAAATTATTTTCATATTTCATTTATCTAATAAGAAAATAATATTGGTAAAAAAATGGTGGTCACCCGACGAGCTTATCCCCTGCCTCTTCCTAAATCCCCCTCTGCCCTTTCCTTTTGCTAATTATTGTTTACCAAAAATTAATCACATAAGAATCATCACAATGATATTCATAATCCCAAATCAGATCAAGGATGATCTTAACGAGCTCATGAATCTATAACTCAACCAGAGATGAATAACAGATAACTAAAAATTGGTGGAACATTCCAGCTGGAATTCGAATAGCAAATGGAAGAGAAGAAGAAATCCGTGAAATTTGGTGTTTTTTCCCTTCCATTTTGATGGATTCCTTTCTTTGTGGTTGAGCAGATCGCCTTTTTCATCCGCTTCCGCGCCGGCGGAGTGGCTGTAGTGCAGCTTGGCTGGCTCCGATGACGCCGCGTCGGTCTCTTTACCAGGAGGTTTGTGGTGCCGATGAGAGTGTCTACAATGGACAGTGGCAGATCCATGAATTCTATATAGAGGCTCCTCTTTCAAAAATTAAATTAAATTAAATATTAGAATTAAATTAAGTAATTATTAAATATGAAAATATCTAACTAATAAAATTACATTAAAAGTTCAGACTTGTTTCGTAAAATGGTAAAATACATTCGGTGTCTAGACTAAGCTCCTCAACAAATCTCTCTCGACATATCCTACTAGACAAGGGTATTCCATAATTGGGTTTAATCATTAGGTTATGAAAATAATTTGGGATAAGAATAACATTTTACTATTATATTTGGATCTAAAACACAATAACTAATGAGTTGCAGTGTAATTGAAAATATGTTTACTAATAGTGATAGTGTCCCAAGTTTAAATCATATAGATTACTACTTAAATATCCAATACGTAAACTACTACGGGAGGTTGGGTAATCATTTCCCCAAAATTTAAGGGTGTCCCACTACCACTTAAATATTTTTTTTGCTCATACGCAAACTACTATTGGTAGTTGAATAATTGTGTTTCCAAATTAGGACACCTCTAAACTGTTAGGGAAACAGTATGGAAGAGAACGATTGAAGGCGTGATTAATCACTCTCCTTAGAGTGTTATTTGCCCCCACTACTTTGTTGCTGGTAGGAATTAGGCAAACCACCCCCAGGAGTCCCTTCAACCAAAGTCTGAAAGCAGCAACCTTTCTGACTTCTGTGTTTGTGTTTTTGGAGAAGGAAAACGGAGAGAAGAAGATGAACGTTGGAACAGAAATTCGGCTGCAGAAGACTTTTATAGTGAAAACGGCAGTTCCCTTCCGAAGGGTTGCGTCGTTTCACAAAACTCAAAATCAAATAATTATCCGGATTAATTAATTAAAATAATTCCGGTAATTAATTAGCCAAAAATTCAAATCCGAACGCGTCGCGCAAACGTGCAAAGTGCTAAGTGCGTAGTGTGATTTAATATGTCCAATTAAATAGCCCACACTTTTTCCAAAAGCCCACTAACCACTTTATCCAATAACTAAAGTGGAAAGCAAACTTAAAAACAACTTGCACTTTCTTTCTCCTCCCCATCCGCCGCTTCATTTCAATCAGTGATGGCAAAAATATCCGTAACCGTGGATATCCGCCCGAATTCGGCTTATTTGAGTAGGGTAAAACCCGAACTCGAATATTGTGAGTAATAGATGGGCATGGTTTTCTCACTAGCCAACCCGAACTCGCCCGATTATACACATGCATATGTGTTTTGTGTAGAAGTAATCATTATTTTTCTCTAACATATTTTATATTTAGCATATAAATATAATATTTTCATTAAATTGGGTTGTTTTATTTAATTTTCTTCATTCAAGTGAATTATTATTGTATTTTTCCTCTTATGTAATGTGAGAATACTGTGTGTATGTTAACATATTGGTTGGAGTTATAAACAGAAATTATTACTCGTGGATATTCGAAACCCGAACGGGTATGGGCATGATTTTGATTTTCAACTTGTTTCTTATGTGGGTATGGGTACGGGTAAAACCCGAACTACTTTGAGAAGGGTAACGGATATGCACTATCCGTCCCCGACCCAACCCGATGCCATCCCTAATTTCAATAGGAGAGAAGGCAGTCGGGGAAGAAGGGGGAAGAAGGATTAGGGTTCAAGATCAATTTTGCTTTGCTCGTCGGAGAAGAGGCAGGGGATCAGTTGGCGACTCGAGTCGGGTGACTCACCACTGCTTGTTTTTTACCAATATTTATTTCCTTATTAGATAAAGAAAATGTGAAAATCATTTGTGATTTGATTATTTTTATTGGTGCTGATATGACAGTGAGCTAGACCGTTGACCGTTCAAATTGACGGTCAAAACACGCGTCTTGCCAATTGACTCTATACAGTGTATAGTTGAGGTCAGGATAACAATTTCTGAAACCACGAACCAAAGTTGATTATTAAGGTATGTTCGACCAAAAATAAGGTGTTAACCCTATAAAAAAAAACTGTCAATTTCATCATTAACCTGTTAAATATGTAAATCTTTATCATTAGATCATATTGTACAAAAGATTTGTGTTACGTAATTACAAATATATCATAAAGCTCCCAAATTTACTATTACCTCTTTATTATTTGCATTACACTAAGGTTCGGTAAGATATTAGCATACCCTGTTTATCTATTGATTCCACCCACCCAAGAAATTTGGAGGTTTGGGTTGATTGTGTTAATTTGAAGGTCCCCCTCGAGAAGGAGAGCTATGGCGTGAAGCCAGGCGGTGATAGAGAGGATTCACAGTCCCGGAAGCCTAATCCTATTGTCGTCGGAGTGGAAAGGCGAGTCCGGCCAGTCGGGGGCGATTCTCGCCGGCGGCTGGTGGTGACGCGTTTTTTCGAGATGGTTTCGGAGGGATTATTAGGCCGATTTCCAGGGTTGTTGGGCGAGATTCCTGGGAGCCGATTCCGATTAGAGGGAAGGATTTCGTATCCCCACCGGAGATCTCCTACTCCAATTACGCCTCTAACTACCAGCAGATCGATTGGATATTCCCTTTTCATGGAGAAGAGGGACTCTGTCCTCTAGTAAAATCGGATGCTCCTTGCAGCAGTGCTCCTTCCCCGCGAATCAGACTGGTACAGGGATTTATCCCCTGTCTTCCCCTTGCTCATTTACGAGTGAACTTATATCTGTCGGTGCGGCGGGTAGTCTTTCTTGGCCGGACAGTTTGCTGCCTCCGGTGGCGCTGGGCTGTACGCCTCTGGGGACGGAGAGCCCCTCTCGGCCGGGCAGCTCGTTGCCGTCAAATATCCTGGGTTTTAGTCCCTCGACCAACAGTCTATGCCACTTGTCTCGTTTACCGCAGCTAGCAAAGGCTGAGTTTTCAACTCTGCAGTCCCCGACGCCTATGGCTGTTAGCAGGAATCTAGGGGCGATTGATTTTTGGGATGCCGGGCCTAGGGTGGCAAGACCGATAACCCAACTATAGCCATTTAATTTTACTGATTTTACTTTGGTTGAATCAGTTGTTTCTAATTCGTCGTGTTCTCATTTGTGTTAGGTGCCCACGATGGCTCATATTGCGGAAGATCAAGTGGTTGAGTTCTCTCTCGCAGAGGTCCAATTGGTGAAGTTTCAAACTTCGAGAACTCTGTTGGGGAGATTATTCTCGGAGACCAACACTACAAGAAAATCTAGTTTTAGAGACAAAGGTTATTTATCTCTAAAAGTCATTTATTTGTTTCTATACGTCTATTGAGACAGATAGATTATTTGCATCGGACGCCTCCCTCTCTAATTCCTTTTAGAGACAAATGTAGAAACAAATAATAATTGCTACTAATTATGAAAGTTGAGGCATATTTATTTGATACCGTTTCTACTTTTAAGAGCATATCCTCGTGCCTTGTTAAATACTTTTAGAGACAAATATGTATGATTTTGAGTCCATTGTATTTGATTCTGTAAAATTCTATAGAGGTAGAATTATTTGCATCTAATAGGTGTCCTTTTGAGGCAAATAAATTTGCTTCTATTCTAGCTTTTAGGTCGCTTCTCAATAGTAACATCTTTTAAATTTTTTCCTAAATATTTCTTTTGTAACAATAAATGACAACAATTGAATCGAAAAGAGAAAACACAAAATTTCTTATTTATTTATTCGTATACTAAATTACAACTAATACAAAACTATTTGAAAGAGATAAAATAGTGAAAATTGAAAATAGGCATCTGTATCCACTAAAACTACACAAGTTCATCAATTTGAGTACAAAATTCTCCTAGCAACGAACAACTAGCAAGCTCATCCGCCATCAACATTATCACGTTGTTGTTCAATTCTTGACCCTGATACTACTACCAGTTGTCACGAGATGACCCTCATCCAAGGCGGACCTTCACTGCTGGATTAGGACAAGAAGTCGTTGGGCCGCCACCACCTAGCTTTCTCCGGCCAACATCACCAAAATTATAACCAAAAACAAAAGATTACCACATCAGCATTATAGAAAATCCCATATAAGAAAAGGAGAATGGTTAGTGCTTAGCAGACATGCATTATAGAAACCACCAGATCTATTCAAATTATTAAAACTAATCCAATCTCTACATCTATTCTCACCTTCGTGGTTGTCGAACGTCACTGTCACCATATGTACGCCTGCCGCCTTGCTATCGCTCAAAACTGCCGTCCGCTCCACCTCGTTGTCGTTTCCAGTATGATGCCACCAACCGCTTGAAAGAATAAGAGAAAAGAGTACAGAGTAGAGAAGAAGAAAAAAAGAAGGGAAGTTGCCGGTTTATGTAGTTCTCTTGTTCTGATGGAAGAAAGGGAGGAAAGAAGGATCTTAAGGATCTAAAAATGGGTAGATCTGGAATTGCTTAAGGCTTATGGAGGAATGAGGAAGAGAGAAGGGCAGGGAGTGTAGGAAGAGAAAAAGGAGGTAAGTGGACGGTTTCTTCTGCAGAGAAAAAATAAAAGGATTTGGAGGAGAAGATATATAGTCGCCTGAGATTGAAGGAAGAGTTAATTACGGTTGTGGTTAATATCATTTATATACTAATGACGTGAGGAGATGAAAGATCATGGGTTGGCGGTTAGGGTTGTGGAATGAGAAGGAAATTCGAAGAGCTCTCTATTTATTTATATTTTTTAATAAAAGGATTCTTTTATTTTACTTATACAAATAAGTTTGGGTAGAAATGGAGAAACTTTGGGCGGCATAAATGATAAGTTTTTTCCCATTATTTTTTTATAATTTTTCCCCATTACTTAAACCTACACAATACAACCAATTCGAATTAGTGTTTTAGGAGCATATAGATTTGTCTCTAAAGACTATTAAATTTGTCTCCATATGACATAACTATAAGTGACATTGTATTCGTCTCTAAAGGTTATTAGATTTGTCTCCATATGACATGATGATAAGAGACATTTGTATTTGTCTCTAAATACTATTAGATTTGCATCTATATGATATATGTATAAGGAGCATTTATATTTGAATCTAAAGACTATTAAATTTGTCTCTAATGACTTAGCTATAAGCAACAATTGTATTTGTCTCTAAAGACTATCAGATTTGTCTATAGAGACAAATAATTTCACCTTCTGAGTCAAATAATATATTTGCTCCTAACGTCTAGCTATAGAGACCAATACAACAATTGCCTCTAATTATTTGCCTCTATAGGCCGGTTTTCTTGTAGTGCAAATTTACTCCTAGTGAGTTGCGAGAGGGCTTCATCGAGGCCTGGCGGGTGCAAGGAAATCTTAGGGTTTCGGTCACTAAATATGGCTTATTTGAAATTGTTTTGCCAAGTGATGAGACGAGGGTTTGGATCCCCAAACGAACTCCGTGGATTGTTAAAGACAGAATTTTACATCTCCGGTCTTGGACTTCAGCTATCACGAGGCCAGTTTTCGATGATCTGGCCACTGCTCCCTTCCGTGTTCAATTGTGGAATGTGAAAGAGGATTGCTGCTCCAAGCAGTTCGGCAGGAAAGTGGCAGCCAGAAAAATAGGCCAAGTCTTGGAGGCTGATGTTTTCGCATCAAGAGAAACAGAGGTGTGCTTTGTTAAAGTGCACGCCCTCATCGATTTCACTAAGCCGTTGCGGTCTCAATTCTTGGCGGTCTGGGGCACTCATCGACCTTCTGCTACCTCTATGGCCGTATGGGGCACTCGAAGCCAGAATTTGTTTTTGATCCTCCACCTGGTAAAGAACGCTTTGGCCCGCATATGTCTACAAGGAAACTAGGAAGGAAGATCTATATGGATGAGGATGAGTTCCCAAAGTTTCGCAACACCAGTAAATCAGTGTGGGTGAACAAAAATGTTCAAGTGCAGAATGATGGGAATGCAAAGAATGCTATAACTCGTGAGATATGACCAGTGTCTAGTGATCGCTCTGTTGATCAGGCTGTTCATCAGCAGGAGATTCATGGCTATATGGAACCGCAACCTCGGGTGCTGAAATCCAGACCTAAGCTGTTAGGGAATCGTGCTAGCCCTAAACAGGTTGTTTTCAAGGCCACACCTCGAGTGAAGATTGGTGGTGGGGTTCGTCCGCACCATAAGAAACTGTCTCCCAGAGAGGCTGCACCTCTCCCCTGAAAGGGCTCCAAGGGTAGTCAGCAGGTGGCAAAACGTGCCAGAAAGGTGTCCAATCGTCAGCAGACAGAGGACCAGGTTGAGGTTGTTCTTGAAGAATCTGGAGGCGAAGGCTGATCTTGCAAGAGGAATCGGAAGAGGAGGAGTTGGCTAGTGCGAAAGCCGCCCAATCTAGACAGCCCCTGGAGAATCCTCGAGTTCCCCCAAAGGGTACTTCTCATACTGGAAGAACGGTGCATCGGGCTCGCCCACGACTGAAAAATGGCGGAGCATACTGCATTTGGGCTAAGTCGAAGCAGGATGGGGGAACGACTCCTTATGATGGTCCGCGAGAGTTGGAGGATGAGGAGGTTGTAGCCCCTCGAGATTATGAGGGTCAGCAGCAGACCATGGATTCAGATGATGATCAGTCGAACGACGATCAGCTCCCGTTTGAGATTAAGAGAAGATCACCAGGTGGGGTCTCCATGGAGACTCGCAAAGTCTTGACTGGGCGAGTCCACCAAGTGGTTGAGGCTTTTGAAGCTGGGTTGGTCTTTGCTCAAGAGGAGGATATACCTATCAATGGGCCTCGCTCGACTCTCAATGAATATGGGTCTAATCTCATGGACCCATCTGTGGAGACCCGGAAGCGCGTGCTCGATGAGTTGGATAGGGAAATGGGTGATCTCCCTACTCCGAAGAAGCCATTTGTGGAATCAACTGATGTTCTGGAGAAGGTGGAGGAAGCCAGCCTCGAGTGGCCCCCATTCAATAAATGAGGATTATGGCCTGGAATGTGAGAGGAATTGGGTCATCCCTCACTTTCCAAACTACTGTAGGGCTGGTTCATTCTAATAAACCGGATCTCGTATTTTTTTCGGAAACGCGATCGAGCCGGCGTGTAGTGTCCCGTCGTATGCGGGGTTTAGGTTTTCCTCTTTCGCATTGTTTTTTTGTTGATGCATTCGATGCATCGCGAGGTTAAGTAGTTGTTTGGGCCCCCGGGGTTGACACTTCGGTGTTTTGTCATTCAAATTTCTATGTTCGCAAATTAATGAAGGAGATTTTTCTTATGTAGCGATCTTTGTTTATATTAGTTGTAATGTTGCTGTTCGAGCTACCCAATTGGCTCAATTGCGAAACGTTTGTACGAGTATCAATCACCCTTATGTGATCATAGGCGATTTCAATGCTACTCTGCATGAGAGTGAAAAAGATGGGGGGTGGGAGTGGAATGCTGCCCAAGCCTTTAGTCTCCGCGAATTTATTCATGATTTGGGTCTCCACGACCCTGGTTACCAAGGAGATCAGTTTACTTGGACTAATAAGCGCATGGGCGATGCTTGCATTCGTGCACGTCTGGATAGAGCGATCTGCTCTCAGGTTTGGATGGATTCATACCCGGAGACTCTAGTCAAACACTTCACGGACCAGGGGTCAGACCATCGTGCTCTTCTCCTTGCAGATAAACCATATGTTCGTACTAGTAGGCCTCTGTTCCGTTTTGATGCCTGATGGGCGGATAATCCGGAGGTGAGGGCCATGGTCTACTATGTCTGGCAGGAGGAGGTCCAAGGCACCCCTATGTTTCGGCTGTGGGAACGCCTAAATAAACTCTGTCATCTGCTATATGATTGGAGTAGGGCGGGCACAACTAATTCCCTGCGCAATATCAAGACGCACAAAGCTGAGATTGATAGGATAAAATCGATCCATCCGGTGGATTGGGATGAGATCAGGACCCTGGAAACAGAGCTATCCCGGCAGTGGGAAGCGGAGGAGGGTTTCTGGCAGCAAAAATCCAGAGTAAAATGGTTAAAAAAAAGGAGATCAAAATTCTGCCTACTTCCATACGATCACAAGGGCTCGACGGAAGAGGAATTTCGTTTCTGGGCTTCGAAATGAGGAGGGTGAATGGGTCACTGCGGAAACCGGAAAGGCTTCTATTGCCACCAATTTTTACCAAAACTTGTTTACCTCGGAGACACAGGTTCCGAATATGGCTGAGAGGGCAGCGACTCTGCCGATTGCCCGTAGTGTCACTCTGCAAATGAATGCTCAGTTGACGGCGGAGGTTTTGCCTAGTGAGGTCCGAGTACGGTCTTTTCCATGGGTTCGAAACAGGCCCCGGGATCGGATGGCTTCACAGGGAAGTTCTTTAAAGCTTTAACCATACCTAGCTCACTTTGATCCCTAAAGTGGACTCGGTGGAAACAATTAGACAATTGCGGCCGATTAGTCTATGCCAGTTTGTTTACAAAGTGATTACCAAAATCATGGCAGAACGGCTGGCTAGCATGCTCCCTCAGATCGTTTCGGAAGGCCAAAATGGCTTTATCAGAGACCGACAGATTATTGATAACATCCTTATAGGACATGAACTAATGCATTATCTGAAAATAAAAAAGCAAGGGAAGAAGGGGTACATGGCTCTAAAGGTTGACATGGAAAAGGCATATGATAGAGTCGAATGGCCCTTCCTGCTTGCAGTTTTGGATAAGATGGGTTTTAATTCAGTCTGGCAAGGATGGATACATGAATGTCTTCGTTCCTCCTCTTTCTCGGTTCTGATGAATGGTACACCCTCGGGGTATTTCACTACCTATAGGGGCCTTCGCCAGGGGGATCCGCTCTCTCCTCTCTTGTTTGTACTCTGCACGGAGGGGTTTGTAGCCCTCCTCCGAAAGGCGATCACAGAGAAAAAATTAGAGGGGGTGAAAGTAGCTCCTCGTGCTCCGAGAATCTCGCATCTGTTCTTCGCGGATGATTCTTATTTATTTTTGCGAGGTTCTCTGCAGGAGTGCGAGAATTTTATTGAGGTGTTGAATGAATATGAGGAACTGAGTGGTCAACGCGTTAATTTGGAGAAGTCGGCGGTGTGCTTTAGCAAGAATATTTCCACGCCAGATCAGGAGTTCTTGGCCACGATTCTAGGGGTTGGTGCGGTGGGGGTCCACGATAAATATCTGGGGCTTCCAACGCTGGTTGCTCGATTCAAAACGGCTACATTCAGATATTTGGAGGAAAAACTCCTAGAGCGGCTTCAGGGGTGGAAGCAAAGGACATTGTCGTGGGATGCTAAGGAAACATTGATTAAATCCATAGCGTTGGCTCTTCCCCTTCATGTTATGTCGTGTTTCCGTCTTCCCCTGGCTCTTTGCCGTCTTTTAGGTAAGCATGTGGCCCGTTTTTGGTGGGGTGCTGAGGACGGTAATCCCAAGATTAGATGGGTGTCCTGGCGTAACATGTGCAGGAGTAAGCATGATGGGGGGATGGGATTTCGCCAGTTCGAGCATTTCAACCAAGCTCTTTTGGCTAAGATAGGCTAGCGTATTCTCAATGAACCTCAATCACTTATTGCCCAGGTCTATAAAGGCAAATATTTTACTCAAGGGTCTTTCCTGACCGCGACTGCTAGGTCTCGTCCCTCCTAGGGGTGTCAAAGTATCCTTCATGGGCGTCAGTTATTGGAGAGGGGTTTGAGATGGCAGGTTGGTAATGGCCAATCGGTCTCCCTCCTTCATTCTAACTGGATTCCTAGGTACCAACTAGATCCCCCATGCTATAATCCGCGGATCTTGTCTGAGGGGGGTGATCCCTTGGTGGCGGAGGTTATTAGTGAGGGGGAGGGAGGTGGTCTGATGAGAAGCTCAGTCATTGGTTTGACCCGCCCACCTGTAAGGCTATTAAAGCTATTCCTCTCCCACGTTGGGATGTGCCTGATAAGCTTATCTGGCATTTTACGGCTAACGGGGTCTTCTCGGTTAAGTCGGCCTATCATTTGGCTGTCGACTTGGACAGGAGGAGAGGTGGGTGGCAATCCTCGATTAGCTGGATGGATAAGCCGAGTTGGATTAGAGTTTGGGAGGCGAAAATCACTCCGAAGTTGAAGGTTTTTGTTTGGCAAATTCTTAATCGGGCTCTGCCGACTATGGAGGCGCTTATTGCGAAAAAGGTCCAGGTGATACCTTGGTGTCCAGTTTGTTGGGATGGCCCGGAGACAATGGAACACCTGTTCCTTTATTTTTCGGTTGTGCGGGCTCTCTGGGATTATTCTGGGCTGGAATACTTGGGGGAGGGTTTGCCTCGGCATACTTTTCCTTTGTTTCTCAAACGTCTGTTGGGTTTGATCCATCAACCGTCAGTGGTTATGGCTGTTGTTGCCATCCTTTGGAGGATCTGGCGATCTCGAAATTGGGTAGTTTTTGAAGGCAAACAATTTGGGATCCCGGCGCTCATGCGACAGTTTAACCAACAGTATGAGGAATGGGTGGGTCTACCAGCGGACCAGGCGCCTAGGGTACAAATCCCGCTAATGCAACCCACAGCACAAGTGGGCGATTCCCATTTGGTTTGCATGTGGGACGGGGCTACTAAGGGTGGGTCTCATTCGGCTGGTGGGATGGTTCTTTTTGACCCGGCGCGGACACTCCTTCTGGCTAGAGGGGTCCAGTTTTCTCAAATGGATGATCCTGTAGTGGTGGAATTACTTGTGCTTAGGGAAGCTATTATTTGGTGTGTGGAGCAAGGTTTGTCGGAGGTCCGATTTGAGGGCTATGCGAATTTGATTATTGACAAAATTAATCAAGCCGACACAAGAGATAGCCGGTTGGGTGCTGTTCTGGAAGAGATTGCTCATTATTTTCGTACTCAGCCTGGCTTTAGTGTGTGTTTTGTAGGTCGGGAGAACAATAGGGTAGCTCATTTGGTAGCTAGGAAAGCCCTCTCTTTGTATCCGACTATGAGTCGTTTCTTTGATTTCCAGACCTGGCTGGTTTCCAGGGTGTAACTGTCTATGGTTTCGATCAATACATGATATCTTTTGACACAAAAAAAGGTAAGATATGTTGGTTTTTACAGAACAGTTTCATCAATTTTGATATTTTCTAACTTAACTTCATTATTAGGCCACTTTCGTAAGGTTTGGTAAGATATGTTGGTTTTTACAGAACAGTTTCATCAATTTTGATATTTACTAACTTAACTTCATTATTAGGCCACACCGTATGAAAGATTTCTGCAACACTATTCTGTAAAAGTTGGCAAAATACACTTGTATGGTCATAACTTTCACGTTTGTGGCAAATATAGCCATAACTATCTGAAAACACAAAATAGCCCAAAAATTGGATGGTAGTGTGACAAATCTAGCAATTTATGTTAGAAACTTTAACGGTGTTAGAAAGTCCGTCACTTAGGTTAATGTTAAGGTGACTACGATGCCAAATCATTGCACACGTCAGCGACAACTCGACCACATTTGTCATGTAGATGCTACATCATATTTTATTAAAAAATAATAAAAAAATTTATCCTTGGACTTTTTTGGTTCAATCCACTTTTTTATTTTCGTGGTTGCAGTCTTGCAGTTCCGAATTCGGACCCGAGCCTGGGTGAGACGACGACATCGTTCCTCCGCGGGATCGACGTGAACTGGCTCCAAGCTACCACGGCGACCGATTGCTAGGAGAGAGCGGGAGTTTCTGGGTTTGGGGGTTTAAGCATTGACGGAGGGGGGTTTAGGAAGCCGAAGCAGAGTTGGCGGCGTCGATGAATTCCAAGCTTGCCTGGGTATCGATCTCCGGCGAAGACAACGGCAGCTCTGCTACTCCGCCGCTTTGCTATGCTACCCCATCTCCAAGACTCCTCGCTGAGGGAGGAAGAACAGTCCCCAAATTTCCTCTTCCTCTGCCGGCACCATCAGTGCGTCATCCCACAGCCACTATTGTGTCACTTCTGCTGTTGTGTCACCTCTGTCGGCACCATCAATGCCCTCTAGGGATGACAATTTTGCCCATACCCATGGGTTTTTAACTATCCAAATAGATGGATATGGGTAGAGTTTGATGGGTTTGTACCCATACTCATTTACTTTGGTTTGGGTTGGGTTTATAACAAATGGATTTGGGTTTGTACCCATGCCCAAATACAAATTATAATTTGATACCTAAACTTAATAGATATGCATATTTAGTACCTAAAATTAATTTTTTGTTTGCATATAAGTCCTCAAAATATCGATGAAAAATTACGTTTTGGTACCTAAATTTTTGTGGTCTTACATTTTGGTACCTAAAATTTTCACGTTTTACAAATAGGTCAAATTATTGCATGTGTAGTTAAAACACCCTCAAGTAAATGGATATCCATATCCAACACATACCAATTTAGATTATAGAAGCAATATTCATACCTTACCCAAACCCATATACAAACCCCCAAACTCATATGCACTTCACCCATACCCAACCCATTATCAATGGATCTACTTGGGTTTGGTATAATTACCCATGGGTGGGTAATTGACATCCCTAGATTGCCCTCATCCTGCCGCTGTGGTTGGATCTCGGTGAGTTTTGCTCATCCTGCCGCTGTGGTTGGATCTCGGTGAGTTTTGCTCTCAACCTCAGTTTTTGGATCCCGCCTCTGTTATTGATGGTTAATTGTGGGTTGCGGGGTACTTTATGGTAATTGATGACAACAATCAACACCCCAGCTCCCTCACTCAACTCACATCCAATGGTTACAACAAGAAGCTAGGGACCGCCGTGATTCTGGTAGCAGCGCGAGATCGATGAGCTGAAAGTGACCAAGAGGAAAAATCCAGAGCGTGATTCCTATATCTCGGAACACCTCGACAAAACCCCAACTGCCGTGACGAGAAGATACAATCAAACAGTGCCAAATCCTCGCCTTCATGCGTCAATTTCATAAGAGGTGGGGAATCGTCGCCGCATAAATTACCTGTGGGAGGAGCTGAGCTGATATTCTCCCCCCGTCGGGAAGACACTAACTGGTCACTTCTTCTCGCCGCCAACAAATTCCCCAGCCAGAACCGATTGCAAGTTCTGGGAAATGGTGCTGGAGGAGATGGACGGTCGGGGAGAATTTGAGAAGATTGAGAACGACGCTTGAGAAGATAAGTGAAAGTAAGATTGAACGCCTCAAGCTTTTCTCCGAAACCCTAAAGAGCCGAATGAACTGCATTCGTCGGAACTCGAATCGAGGGTAGCAAGTTTGGCCTTCCACGGTGGCGACATGTGAGAGGTTTCAGGCATTTTGGGTTTCTCAATTGGCTCGTGGCGGCAGCCATAGAGGAGGAGATGGTGGAGAGTGGACAAGTGGGAATGAGGTGTTTGTGATGAAAAAGTGGTAGAGATCGGCATAGAGAGCATCACTTACAAAAGGGAGGAACGATGAAGTTCTTCATCTCATGAAAGGGAGACCATGGGAGGAAAGATGAAGTTCTTAGGGGTGGGCGTGGGGTAGGGTGCAGTGGAGAGGTGAGCAAGAATAGAGAGGGGAGAGAGAATAAAAAATTTTAATTAATTAATTTTTTATTTTGTTTAAAGTTAATTCCACATCATATTATTATTGACAAAATATCGCCAACTCACATTTTCCGTTAGTCCAATCATGCCGTTAGATGACATCGTTAAAGAAATGGACGAAATTGGCTATTTTATGTTTTTGGAAAGTTATGGCTATATTTGTCACAAATTTGAAAGTTATGGCTATACATGTGTATTTTGCCTAAAAGTTCCGTAATTACAAATATCGCACAAAACTAGCACACTCTCTACCTGTTGCTTCACTTTCCAGCTTCGATAAACATGACCATTTACTGCTTAGAGCAATTGTGACCGAAATACCAACATTTAGCACATAGCAGGAGCATATTACAACACTCCATATCAACTCATAGGTTATTCATACCATCTGGCTTCATATCCAGCCTAGTAATACGTTTCTTCTTCGCAAAAATCTCCACGCATACCTTGGCAACCCCTAACTTCGTCCCTCTTTTGGTAGGGAGATCCATACATAACGGCTTACCAATCGAACTTGAATCCTGCCAAGACCTTCCTTATTTGTGAATTCATTCGAAACGTTTGAAATACGAACCCATACTGGAAACTTGGAGTTATCAATCGCAAGAGGTTCAATACCTGGAACCCACTTCCTCAAGAATAACATATAATACATGTTGTTCCACTGACCACCTTCAAAAACCCACTAGCAAATAGTTGTCGTCAGAAATTTGAACAGAACAAGCTTATCATCAAGCCAAGATACGCGCACTTCACCTCCATTGGCCCAGAATAAGATAGAGGAGATTGATGAGGGGTGACCAAGGAATTGCCCAGCCAAACTATTTTCCCAGCTTTTTGCACCTTCGTCAGTCACCGATTTCGGAATCCGGAGAGCTCTATCAATAAACTCTCGCTCATAATAATCCAACCTAGTATCTTAGACTAATGCCGAATATAGAGACCCACAAGCAACCGCCACTGACGACTCCGGATGAGGCACCGTCAGCACAACCGCCATCAGGTACAGTTACGAAAAACCTAACTCAGAGAAAAAGCAATGAGAGAGAGAAGAGAGAGAATTTCCTAAGTTAATATAACAATGAGACCCATATATAAACTTGCTAACATATAGCAAGGATGGGGATGACCTAAATTTGATAAATGCTTTTTTTAACTTATTTATTCCCCTAAAATGGAAAACCCATCAACAATTAGTTAAAAATCAAATTTGAGATAAGATCAATGATATAATTCTGATTCATCAAAGAACAAAAATGATATGATTCCATCGTATCTATCTATCTATCTATAACTTATATTATGGTTGTTTTAGAGCAACATTTCGCGATGTAGGATTCAAGAAACTCCACAATTTTCCATGTCACCTTTTTCATTTAAGTTTTCTCATAAGTTTTGGATGTCCATTTTCATTCTCCCAAAAGCTGTCATAAGGGCTATCGACACTACAACAAATTCGACCTATTATGACGAGACAATTTTGCATATTAGATACCTATTTTGTCATATTAGGTATACTATGACAAAAGGTGTTGTCACAAACATTTGCCATTTTATCGCCGTCGGATAGGTCAAATGTGACAAAAATTTAAAACAAGGTTGTCACATTTGCTTTCAGTATAGCTGAGGTTTTGGTAGTCTATTGTGACAAACAGAGATGTTATGACGACATATTTTGTTCATTACGGTTGTCAGAATCTGGTGATTTTGGGAGAATTGTTCGTCATATTACACAGTTATATTTTGTCATAACTGTATATTGTGACGACAACATTTGGTCACAAGTGTTTATTGTGACAACATTATTTTGTCATAACTATATAGTATATATTGTGACGAATATATTTTGTCATAACTACATATTATAACGAGTATAGGTTGTTAGGAAAGGTGTCACATTTGACCTGCTTCAAAAATTTTATAATTCGAAATTGTTTACTGCATTGCAACCGGATAATGGAAAGATTACCAAAGATCCAAAATATTACAACCATTTCCATAGCAGTGTAACTCCTTGTTCATCATAATCAAACATTCTAAGTTGTCCACCATGACACAAAACATTCCACCTTGTTCACCACGACACAAACCATTCTACCTTTTTAGTTGCTCCTCCTGACTTTGTATCTTCTCCTCAAACTTCTTGGCCTTTCACCCCACTTCAGCTCTTGCTGCCTCCAATTCTGCGTGGAGTTGTTGCTCCTTTAGTAACCAACCACTATCATTCATCATCATTGTCATCTATATCAAGTAATCACTCATTTCTGGCATTTATTTAAAACTAAACACAAAACACATCATAAGAATACTCTCAACTCAACTTAGAAAGGTAATTTAGAATACCTCAATTTTGTTTAAAGTAACCCATGAAGTTTGCCATAACCAAAGACCACAAATTCACCACCATAAACACTCACCAGTTCCTTGATTCAAGTCCATCATAAATCACACACTGCCCATTTCCAGAATTAGAAATACCAACAATCAAAACCAATAATTCGCAAGATATAAGTAAAGCAACAGTTTGTAGATTACCAACATGCAAAGCTTCTTATATTGATTTGTAACACCACAAAGCAGCACCTCCCCTCTAAAGCAGCATATCAAGACCATTCATTTGGCATACAAAGCTGCCACCACAAGCAGTGCATGCTCACAGACCAAAAGCAGAAAAAACAGAACAAAGATTTGCATTGATCAAAGTAAACCAGCTAGCTATTATATTGAAATCATATAAGTGCAGCAAAAGCATTTATCAAGTGGCATTAGCATTTATCAAGTGCAGGAGAGAGTGAAGGCCAAAATGAGTAGAGTACTGCAAGTCATACCTTCTCCGGCAGCAATGAAAGACAATCCATGTCTTAGAGACAAAAGAACTTCTCCCTTTACACCCTCAACAAAAGTACCTAGAAATATGAAGGCCAAACTGAGTGGAGCAGTGCAAGTCAAAGATCTATTGCTCCAAGGTAAAGTCAACAGGATCATATGTCACATAAACCTTTATCCAATAGTCCAAAGACTATCACCCGCTAACAAACCGTACTCATTTAAGGAAAAGATAGGCCTAGGACTGTACATGGTCACTGGGCCGTGCTTGGGCCGGTACGGCACGGGCACGCTTCGGGCCCATTTATTTCGTGTCGTGCTTGGCACGACCCGTCAGTTTTCGTGTCGTGCCATGCAAGCCCATTTGTTAACTTTGCTAGGTCCGACCCAAGCGCATGCACAGTTCGAATCGTGCCTGCCTATTCGTGCTCGTGTCATGCTCGTATTCATGTTTAATGAAAATGACGAAAACAAAAGAGAGAATGAAAAAGAAGGTGAAAATTGAACGGATGAAGATAATATTAACTGATAATGTTTGAGAAACGTAACAAATCAGGGGGAAAAGAAAATTGGAAGTATAGCTAGTGTGATTTGGCTTTGTTTAATTCTTTGTCCATTTTTACTTATGTTAGTAATTACGTATATATCTTTATGACACTTCTAACAACAACAAATAATTGTTTTTCTACTTGGGTTTTGTAATATTTGAACCGATAATTCTTTTTATATTTATTTTCTATCAAATAAATACTATTTTCTTGCCATGTTCGTTCTTATATTCAATAAAGTCTCGAAAATATTAGGCCCGGCCCGAACCACTTATATACCGTGTCGTGCCCGTGCCCATAAAGTTTAGGCCCGACACGCCCCATAAATTATTCATGCTCATGCCGGGCTGGCTCATTTATTTCGTGTCGCTGCTCGTGCCATGCTCTAACCGTGTCATGCTAGCCCGTGGGCGCATGACCCGGTGTCCACGTACACCTAGGACATTAAAGCATCCAAGAGCATATGAATGGTCATATATGTATTTAGGCGTAACAAGTAGAATTCATGTGCATCTTCTCTAACACGCAAATTTTGGCCCGTTGGATGAAGTTAGTCATCAATAACTGACATTGGCAGCAATAATGAACCAATTAAGACACATTCTACAACTAGCAAGCCATATCTAATAATGAACCAATTAAGGAAACTGGAAAGTAACCTCATCTCTCCAGCTATTCTCGCAGCAACCAGTACCACAATCTCTGCTTTGTAATCTTCATCTCTAGTTGGCTTCAAGCTTTCTCTGATTCCTTTATATCAAACGAAATTATTAGCTAGGAAAAGAACCTTGTAATTAGTCAGGAAAGCACATATCTAAACTGGTACATCAATCAATATAAGCTACGTGAGAACAAAGTTGAGCTTCAAAGAGCGACACAACCAGTAAGCTCTTTGTCTCAAATCCAGTTAAGGGTAACTAACTGAGTTAGATCATAGATCTATTAGGCAGAACCCATAAAGTAATAAATTTGGACCCTCTCAAAGCCAGTTAAGGGTTAGAGGCACATCAACAATAGGAGAGAGGGCATCGAGAACGGTGATGAGTGAAGGCGGTGGTGGGATACCTAGAGGTTTAGTTTGAGGCGGCGAAGAGACATGGTCGGAACCTCTCAACTCTGAATCTGCCAAAATCCATCACTCGATCTCGCTAAGGTCCAATCAATCCCCAAGGTTGCTGGAACCCCTCATATCCACAGCTTGCTTGCCATTCGAAATATGCCATCCATAGCTGAACTACCAAACATAAAGAAACATCCACAAAAACCAGCACAAGCAGAACATGGTTAGGTAATCAGAATATCGGTTGGTTTTCTGCTGGGGCTATATGCACACGAGCAAATTCTAGCATCAAAGCACACAAACTATGCTATCTCTAATGATCCACATATAAAATTACAAGAGGCCCTTGTATAATAAACCAGTACAACCCAGAACATTCTCCCTTCAGCCGCATGAAGGACACAGTGACTCCCAAGCAATTCGCACCAATAAGACTAGACCACAAATTAAAAGATTTGGTACATAGAAATGGTTAGAAACTTGCCAAAGTATTATCTAGGGTGACGAGATCGGAGTGGGCAGGGAGGACCTTCAAGCACTTGCGGCTCGTGAAGTCCCAAATCCTGACAGTCTCGTCGAAAGAGCCAGAGACGATCATGCTGCTCCCAGGGTTGAAATTGGCACAGAGGACGCAATTTGTGTGGCCGATGAGGGAGGTCAGGTGATGGAGTATCTCGTGGTGACGTCCTAGAGGCGGAGGGTTTTGTTTTCGGAGTCGGAGACGAGGAAGCGGGAGTCGGAGGAGAAGGCGACATCGGATACGCCATGCTAGTGGCCGTGGAAGTCGTGGATGTGGGTGAGTGGAGAGGAAGGAAGGTTGGACGGGGAGAGGGAGTAGGTACAGAGAGTTTTGTCGGAGGCGGAGGAGACTAGGAGTCGACCGTACGGAGGAGAATGTTTTGGCGGCGGAGTGAAAAATAGAACCATCCGACCAAATATATATAAGAAAATCCAAAAATTAAAGGATGGGTCGCTGGGCAATTAAAAAATTTCAATTGTCAAAAGTTTTTATGGAGAGCGAGAATTTGAGTTTCCTTTCCCGCCCACAGATAAAATCATGGGACGCTAATCAGGGTGTCATATAACAACTAAGGGTCACATGGTTTTAGTCCAAAACGAGATTTCAGTCTAGCACAAGTAAATATGACGAAAATGTCTTTTTGTCAAAAACGAATCCACTATATTATGACGAATATGCCTTTTATCAAAGCCGAAACCACTATATTATGACGAGCATGCACTTTTGTCAGCTCGCCGTGGGATTATTGCTATCTATTTTGACAAAATACTTCGTCATTTAAACAATTCAGGAAGGCAAAATATGACAAAAGCTAATATGTTATAATTTGTCACTTTTGTGTCTCTTACATCCCGATATGGGATGCCTATTTTGACAAACTTAATTGTGACACGAAATATTTGTCACATTACTCACTTCAAATGACAAACTATTATGCAACAAGAAATTTGTCATTGTTGAGTCTCTTACATCCCGATATGGGATGCCTATTTTGACAAAATTAATTGTGACACTAAACATTTATCACATTACTCACTTTAACTGACGACTTATTCTGACAACAATTTTTTTTTGTCACATTAGGCATACCAAATAGGACATATATTATTTTTGTCATATCACCGTACCTATTGTGACAAATAAAAAATAACAAAATAATATTTTTGTCCTATTAGGCCAAATTTGTTGTAGTGCGAGAAACTTTGCAGTGATTTTTTGTGGGGGGTGGGAGATGGATCTCGGAAAAAGGCAGTGGTAGCTTGGCCTAGGATCACTAATCCAAAGAAGGAAGGTGGTCTAGGACTTAGGGATATGGCTTCATGGAATTTTGCTTGTGTTACACGTCATATTTGGGCTATCCTTTTGAAACAGGGTTCTCTATGGGTTGCCTGGCTCTGGGAATACCGTATTAAAAGGGAGAATTTCTGGACATTAACTACCAAGGCAGGATCTTGGCTATGGCTAAATCTGCTGAAGAGTAGGGACAAGTTGAGAATATGGCTTTCTACTGAGGGTGATGGGGTTCACTGGAAGGGAGAGTTAATGGCTAAATTCAACATTAAAAAGGTATGGGAGGAAATCGGACCTAAAAGAAGCCATGTTTTTTGGAATTCTCTGGTTTGGAAAGGACCTTGCATTCCTAGAAATCACTAATTGTTAATGATTATATCGTAATAGGGGACAAAGCTCAAGGTTGGGGTGGTGCTGGTAGTTATGGATGTGTATTTTGTTATAGTCCTTGGAAACAAGATCTCACCTGTTTGCTGAATGCAAAATGCATAACAATTGTATGCAACTCTGTTTGCTAAATTTGTAGATCGAATTCCTGGAGATTAGTGGCTGGACGAACTTCACTGGGCTACTCTGCAGTTCCAAAAAAAGACTATTGTTTCCCAGGTTGAGAAAGTTATATGGCAGGCTTTGATTGCTACAACTTGGAGGGAGCGATGCAAAGTTAAATTTGGTGGAAGGAGACTGGATATGAATGAGCTGATCTGGTTGGTTAAGAGTGATTTGCGGCTGATTATTGATCCCATTGTATTGGATCAGTTCTTCTATGTAAAATGTTTGTCTTTGCTGGTTTGTTCTGATAAATAGTGAGATTATAGTAGCTTATACTAGTCTATCAGTTACTCAACTCAGCTGGCAAAGCTTGTTGCCAACAAGTACCTTGCTGCATTTTTATGAAATGAAAGTCCCAACCAATTCATAAAAAAATAAAAAAATAATAAAGACTACTTCTGATATTAAGCCAAAGGTAGCTCCTGACTCACGGATGTGGGGCTGGAGTGTAGGGATCATTGCTTATCAGAATCCTGTCTGTATCTGAGTACAGCTTGTGCGCAGAGGGAAATAAATACTTTCTTACAAAGCAAAGATGTGCGCATTATGTAGGTAGGCAAAATATTTTTTCTTTTAAGTACCCGAATGTGTAGTGGGTCATCACCCCGTTAAGAAGCAAATGAAAATAGGTTATTCCGCTTACTGTTATCGAATTTCCTTATTTCTTATTGAAAGCAAGGGAAGGTAGAACAAGGCGTCAACCAAGAGTCCGGACGAGCCACCATGCATTCTCAGCTGGTGAGTGCATTCCGCGCTTGAATGACTCTGGAAATCGCTATCCTATTCATGTCAGTCGAAAAATCCGTTAGCATACAGTGTATAATAAAGACATCAATCACATCATAATCATCATCATTCATTACTAAGACTCGAACCTATAACCTGGGAGTCTCAAATTAATATCATTTAGAGTGTTAAACAATGAGGCAAACTCTATTTGATGATATCAACCACAAAAATATTACTACTCATGTCACGAAATGGGGTTAATAAATGAAACGAATTTGACATTCCTCACTTATTAAAGATGGTATAATTATTTTTCTATAGTGCACATCATTTTCTCATTTTATTTTCATGACATCAGTAATTGTTTCCCTAACTTCCATGCAAAATTATTAAAAACAATGGCTTTACTTTTTTGTTTGATGTAATTCTAATTTCTTTTATTTTTGGCAAAATTCACCTGTATAGCCATAACTTTCACCTTTTGGACAATAATAGCCATTTTTTGAATAATACACAGAAATAGCCAAATTTTCAAAACTTGATAGATTAATTTAGCCATTTCCATTACATTATTTAACAACGTCACTCAGTCTGTTAGTTTAGTTGACATTCTGATGATGTGCCTGCCACCTGGGCGCCACCTCATCTCCACCTATACTAAACATTGTCACATCTATGACATGTCATATTTCAAATTAAAAATAAATAAATAATACTATATACAAAATCTATACTCAATCGATTGATTGGAATCCTCCTCCTTTAATTTTGCCCCTTTTCATCTCTGCTAGGGTTCCGCCCCAAGACTCAGTCGGCAGAGCTTCTCCGGTTCTCCCCGAGAACCAGCCGTCGTCGCCACCTTCCTCTCAATGGACGAGTCGTCCTCTCCACGAACCCAAGTAATTCTCTCCCCGAGAACTAGCCGTCGCCGCCGCTTTTCTCTCAATCGACGAGTCGTCCTCTCCCCTAACCCAAGGGATTCTCTTCCCGACGCGTCTCATCGCAGCCTTCCAAAATCCAGTACCTCAGCTCCCAAACATCTTCACGAGTCATCCTCTCTATTCTAGTGCTGTTGTAACCATGTCATAGAGGATTCGAAGTGGGACTTCGTCGAAATTTGCTGAATCTACTTCAACAAGCATCAATAGTTTAGCTCTCGTCCTTTGATATCATAAGGCTCCTTGTGTGGTTAACAGATCTGGCACTAAAGGAAATCCCAGCCAAAAATTCTACGACTATCCTTACTGGGAGGTAAGGAGTAAATAATTTCGTCCTTCCATTTCCACTTATGCATATGAATGATTCTAAGGATGACCGAGTGCTCTCCCTTTGTAAAATGAGAAGAAAAATTGCAATTTCTTTAGGTGGGTCGAAGGTAATGGTGACGAAAAGGAGTCACAGAACACAGAAATAAAATACAGTATTATGAAGATGGAAGACAGAGTACAGTGAGCATAATGTAAGGCAAAGCAGAGCAAGAAGGAAATAAGAATGGCGGTCGAAGAACTAAGGAAGTTTATGGCAGTCCATGAAGTTGTCGTAGCTGATGTTAGGAGGGTGAATGTTGATACATGTATCATTCGCTATATGTTGTCAGTTTTATTGTTTGTGAATGCTTTGGTGATTGTAGGCATGTGGAGGCATGAGTATTAGTGTAGATTTGTTATGTGTTGTAGTATTAGTGTAGTTATGTAATGCAAGGGGCATGAAATGCAAGGAGTATTTGTTGCGATGTAATCATTTCCTGAAATCAGAAGATTGAATAAAAGCTATTACATATATAATGCCAAGGGAGATGTCTGGCAATTACATAGTTGTTAAACCTACATAATTGTACGAAGTACATCAGAACAACATCTATTAGTTCATGGTTCCACCTAATTGTTCAGAGGACACCAGAACCTACATAATTAAAGCTGTCTTAAGGGGTGAAATAGAACACAACAATTACATGAGTCAACCAAAATACACCCCATCTAACACTCCACAAAATAATGGCTCAAGTAATCTCCTAATTGAAATCTAAGGCTGAGTAGGTGGTGGTTGACTTCCTTGCAGCTCTATCACATTTGCTTCTACTCCACGAGGTCGTCGAGAAGGACCACTTCCAGCAGGTCTGCCACGATCCCCATTTAGCTGAAATAACAAGTCATTTTACATTAACTCGGTCCACATGAACACATAAATGGAAGTTTTCCAATAACGAACAAGTATACTTACCCTACATATTGATTGCCAGTGGTCTCATCGACATATACACCCACACCAATTGTTGCAACACGCAACTCCCTTTGAATTGTAGCTCTATCAGCTACATTAAATATAACGTCCTACACATAGCCATCACTTATACAAACACAACTCAATAACAGTTCAGAATCGCACAATTATTCAATTTGCCTTCCTATATTCCAAGTTATGTAAAAATACATGTATCCTAGTCCCCCTATTTAGAGGACAGGGCTGCGCATTGTGTGTAGGCTCTCCACATTTGGAGCAATGGCTGCCTCTCTTCCTTCTTTGATTGCCTTGATTGTTCTATCTTCTTGCCTTGTAATTCTTTTTCCTCCAGCTCTTGCAGTAGTCCCCTACATTTCAAATAGCAATGTTTTGTTTAGTAGGTCATCCGAAAATCAGTGTACAATGAAAGGAAGGCTAAATAGTAATATTACCACTTCGTTGGCAGCAATGGGAGCCTTGCATGATCTCGAATTGTGACCCTTAGCTTTACACCTCTTGCAATGTATAAAGGTACCTTTTCGTGTGACCTCTTCACTATTTCCTCCCCACTGGGCTCTTGTTGCAATCTCGATGGCAGCCTTTCTATGATTCTTCTTTGGTTTGCCAGGCATCGACTTGCTTTTGGGAGGATGGATCAGGTACCCTACAATACTTGGCCATGCTTGCTTGACTACCGTCAAGACAAGGAATGCCATTCTTGTAAGCATTGGCCATAAAACTTGCATGGTACAAATGGTCAACGTAGTCAACCACTTCAAGTCTCATGTGAGTGATTGCCGAGATGGCATGAGAGCATGGCAGCCCGCTAAGACTCCAGTATCCACATGAACAAGTAGCAGCCAGCAGGTCCACAATGAACCCATCACTTCCACATTTGACTTCACACCTAGCATTAAGAGTCTGTCGTGCCACACAAAACCTCACAAAAACTTTCTCCTTCTCCAATCGCTTTCTAATCCTAGGACACAACACACATTGCACTCACTCAACATCTTGTACTTGAGCACAACCCCTTCCATCATATAACCTCTAATACCCTCCAACATATCTACAATTCGAAACCCTCTATACTTCACAATGGTGCCATTCAATGTCACGCATATACTGCTCTCTACTAAGTCACATTTAGGAACACAAGACAAAATCATGACAAAACGTTTTTGGTTCAGCAACCATGAAATCCTGATGAGGGGTAGGACCATCACCCATACCTTCAATCATTTCCAATTCCGAAGTTGCCCTCCTCCATTCCACCTCATTGCACTCATAAACAACCTTCCAAAACAACTGTCTTACTTGGTCTGTTTTATTCTTGGCCTTCCAATTCGCATAGACATGATGAGCACATTTGCGATGTTCCGCTGTCGAGAGAACCTCATGAATAGCCTCCACTAATCCCTGCAGTTTTCAAATACAGCAATCAATTAGCCGAAATCCTTATTCAAAAAACCATGAAATCAAACAAAAAATATTTAAGCTCGTTATACCTTCTGATGGTCCGATATCACTATAAAACCTCTCTCGTCTATCAGCTTAAGTTCATCAGACAAAGTCCTCACAAACCATGACAACGAATATTTTTTTCTCCCTCCACCATAGCCCACGCCATAGGGTACACTTGATTATTCTCGTCTTTCCCCACAGTAGTGAGGAGCATCCCCTTAACCTCCCCCTTCAAGAAACAACCACTTAAGCCAAACATCGGTGGACACCCATCTAAAAAGCCTTTCTTCATACATGAAAAACCAACATAGAACCGCTGGAAGTAACATTTATCTCCACTTGGATTTTCGTATCCGATTTGTCGATGCCAAGCACTAGAAGAACGTTGGCCAAGTTTAAAAGTGAGGATCGTAAGAATGTTGCCGCAAATATCGATCGAACAATGCAAAACAACTTAGCATCTTTACCAAAAGCTCAAATTCGTACAAGGCCTAATACAATTTCGACTATACATTCATGAAGACGACAAAATTTTGGGCCAAAGAAGATAAGCTTAAACAATTTGAATTTGGGCTTCTAGCTTTGTACTCCAAGTAAGCAAAAGCAATCTGCAAAAGTAAAGGAAAAATCAGATCAGCTCAACCCAACATCAAGACAAATTAAATCAAGGTTGAAGGCCAAATGCGAGACCCAAGTGCAAGATGCAGGTAGAGACACGCTCGGCCCATTTCAAGCCCAGATGAAGACCAGGTAGGCCCATACTCAGGCCCGTAACTGCAGGCCCAACTCGGCCCGAAGCCAATGGATAACCAAATCCAGAACCGACCCTGACAAGTCAGAACCGACCAAGTGTGGTGGAGGTCTCACAATTGGCCTCAAAATCGACCAACCACCAAGAGACACGCAATACTTTCATTTTCCCGTAAATGAGCTCATTGGGCTCTTTGTTTAGGGAACGAAAGGGGAGAGAGGAAGATAGGGGGGCTGGAGCTGGAGAAATAGTGATAGTGATGGAAAATTACTTTTCCTTTCTTTTTTTGAAAATTTCCATGTTCAAGGTTGTAATAGTTGACGAATGAGGATTCAGATCCAAAGTCGACTATCAGCTCAGTGCTTGTAAACCTAAAACTTCTATATTATTGAATGATATAGCATCTCTCAAGAAGTTCTTGTCGAATCCAATTCTTGTTACAATGGCTTGCTTAACAATGAGCCAAACAATAAAACTAGATTGAGGAGGACATGACGTACTCCATATAAATCTGTACCACTGTACCTCTTGCCGCCTATTACGAAGAGTCTCCCAAACTATTTTGACTGAGAAGGTAAGCATTTGGCAAGACCCCCAGTAGATTCCATTAGTTCCTTGCCTGAGCCATGGACTAACAGTGTGCCTCAACTTAAGCAGCCTTCACCAAGTCCAAGAGCTGCTGAACTGAAGTTTCATGGACTACAAATCCCCCTGCTTACATTTATATTCATGCATCCAGGCTACCCAAAGAGTACTTGAATTCAAAAGGAACAACCAAAGAATTCGCACTGTACAAGGTTGATTCCACGCTAGGAGATCTTTTACTCCTAAACCCCTTCATGTTTTGGCAGTGCAATTCTCTCCCAAGCAACTTTTGCACGACCCTCATGAGTACATGCCAAAGAAACTGAGAGCAAATTTTCTGCACACGCTTGAGTACATACGTGGGAAGGACAAATAGTTGCATCCAATACTGGAAAATCCCCAACAAAACAGCATTTAGCAGCTGCAGTCTACCAGCATATGTGAGTTTCTTAGCACGCCAGGATTTAATCTTCTTAGTAATTTTGTCCACCAGGATATCAATTTCCGTGGAGGACAATTTACCTGTGATTAGTGGCAATTTTCATGATTGAAATTAAATAAATTTTTAAATACCCTACCTACATGGATTGTATCTTTTTAATTTAAATAGTATTTCAAAAACTTTGTACAGAAAAATGAATTAACTATGATTTACAAAACATCCATCAATATATTTTTGGTTAAAATATCCCAATCATGTATACCATCATCACATAATTTTAATATCATCATGATATATGACACATTCATGTATATTATTTTTATATCACTATAAATTTCATTTTGTATAGTATATTTATTGATTTTTTATGTAAAAATATGAAATTCGAGTTCAAACGAATAAGATATAGTCTGTTAAAATTAACACAGGAGTGGTTATGCATTTGTGTTTGATTTTAGGATTATGCACCTAGAGTGTTCCAGACAAGTTTCACAACAATTATTTTGTCTTTCAAAAAAAAAAAAAGTAAGATTTAGTTTTCTTTTTGTATTTTGACTTTGCTCAAGGGAATGGGTTAAGGTGATTACTTATTTTTTAGTAATGACAGTGGCAACCTCTTTATATACCATTAGATTTTATATTTTCCTTTCTTTTTTAATCTTACTCTCAAGATTCTTTTAGGGTAATTATGGGAATGAAAAAGTGATCACACTTGATTATTCTATATAATCTACCCAAACCCTAGTTCTACCCTCTCTCCAGCCAAACCCGCCGCAACCGTCTACACCACTCCGTCGCACTAATCGCGCCGGTCACCTACACCAGCCCCTCTCATCGGCCACCCTAGACGACGACGAAGCCTACAGTCGGCCACCCTCCCCTCGGCCACACCCGACGATGACGACGCCTGCAGCAGGTAACCCTCCCCTCGGCCACCCCCGATGATGACGACGCCTACAGCCGGACCCTCCTCCCCGACTACCCCCGACCACCACTGCTCTCACTCTCTCTCTCTCTCTAAAGAAGCTTGTGGTTGGAGGGGTGAGATGGAGGGGGTAGAGGGCTACATGGATTATATATATACATGCATGGAAGGTAACAAGAGCGAGAAGCAGAGCAGAGGCGGAAGGCAAAACCAAAAAGCAAAGAAATTGATCTTTGTATGCAATGGTAGGGATCTACCATTTTTGTAGTTATCTGCACAGATTGACATTGACCTTTCAATGGTAGTGATCTTTTGGTGGATTGGTATGTTATTTCATCTTGTAATGGTAATGATCAAGATGAGTTGCACTGTTTTTTGTCTTGCAATGGTAAGTGTGTATGATTTTGTTAAGACTGATATGCATTGGTAGTGATCTACAGCATGAATGGTAGTGTTCATTGTTTTACGTGCAATGGTATTGTTCGATTTAATTTTATGGAATGGTATTGGTTGTAGTTCTTCATTGGAGGGAACTAGAAGTGTGTAAGTTGTTTAATTATGTTTTATTGCTTCTAGGTTTTCTTTTCTGAACCTATTGATTATATTGGCAAGATAATTGTGTTGTGATTTGGGAGGAAGAAGATTGATGGAAGATTTGACGTGAAGATAGTAGAAGGATTGTGTAATGACTGACACTGTGAGGAGAGTAGTCAAGTTGAGGTCAAATTGAGATTTAGCATTTTCCAAACCAAAATAGTGAGGCCCAACTTTCTTTGTTAGAAATTTAACTCATTTTGAAGACCAAACCCTTTTTATTAAAACTTTCACTTTAAAGCCCAACCCAATCCCAAAACCCTAGAGAACTCTAAGTGAAAGAAAGAAGCACCATTTGTCATCTCCCCGTCCCCTTTTGCTTTCCTTGGTGCGGCGCCGATATCCCTCCCAATCAAATCATTGTTACTTCTCTTCCTTTGCTTATTTTTAATTTTGGTTCCCATCATCAACTTCGGCATTTAATTGAAGGAAGGAAGAGGATGGCGACTTGGTGTATGGTGGTAGTCGGAGAAAGGGGTAGCTGCATTTGGGTCTTGGTCGAGTTGTGGAGCTAAGGGTTTCTAGTGGAGATCAAAATGGAGAGGAATGAGCTGCTTCTTCCGGTTTGTTCTCCTTCTATCAGCCTCTGTATTTAATTAGTGTACTTGTCTAGTCTAGGTGATTGATTTGGTTAACAATTATTGAGAGTCTGGAAATTTAGCGAGTGATGGAAGTTGTTTGGGATATGTCGGTTCTATTGGCTATTTGGATGTAATCGATTAAGGATTTGAGAATAAAGCATGGTGAAGTTTACACCGAAGGAATGGGAAGCTTTGCTTCTTGTCTGAGTTTCAGGGGAAGCCGCATGGTATCTAGGATTAAAGGGTTTATAGTGGACTTTTCTGGGTACTGATGCAAGATTCAAAGGTTTTGGGACACATCAAATGGAGAGGGAATAATGATTTTGGATGCAAGGGTTTGGAAATGGACATATGAGTTTAGAGGGATGGGAATTTTGTACGAGAATGTAAAGGGAGTTAAGTAATTGGCTAGCTTTTCAGTATTTGAGAATTTAGTGTTAGGTTGTTAAAGTTAGCATTGTGAGCTTATTTGAGTTCCTTGTTTGATTAATTCGTAATTGTGCCAGGTTCAGTTTATGCTCATTCGACTAAACTAATTTGAGCCAAGTGTCTGAGTTGGAAGTTGATCTTGGTTCAGGTGAGTAATGGTTGTAACTTATGACACCAAAACTTGGTGTTTAAGCATGGTTTGTTATTGGAAGTTTTGATGGTGTTTGCTTATTTAAGTTGAATTCTTTCGTACATTGAAATAATTTGAATCGTATTACTATTTGACTTTTGAAATG